GTAAGCCCCTCAGGCTGCTCCCCAGGTCCCCCGAGGGGTCTGTTTTTTAGCTAGATTTTGTGCCCTGACAGACATGGTCATTCCTGTGTGTCCTGTGTGTCCCTTGTTGCTTGTGTCTATTCTCATGTCCTTGAGAGCAAGGCTATTTCTGTCAGCCAGTCTAAAAGGGCCCAGAGTATACAGTTCACTGGGACTTCTGTGACTTCTGCACTATCCAGTAGAGCAGACACTAGCTAATATGGGCTATCCAGCCCTTGAAACATGCATGGCTCCTGTGACTGAAGAGTTGCTTTTTTAATTTTTAAAAACTCTAAAATTTACATTAAAATAGCCTTATGTGGCCCTGACTGGTGTGGCTCAGAGAGTTGGGACTTGTCCTGAAAACTGAAAGGTCGCAGGTTTGATTCCTGGTCAGGGCACATGCCTGGGTTGCAGGCCAGGTCTCCGATTGGGGGTGTGCAAGAGGCAACCGATCAGTGTTTCTCCAGCACATCGATTTTTCTGTCCCTCTTTCTCCCTTCCTTTACCTCTCTCTAAAAATAAGTAAATAAAATATTTAATAAATAAATAAATAGCCTTATGTGGCTACTGGCTACTGTTTTGGACAACGTGGGCCGAGAGGATGCAGTTATACAGGTTGTGTGCCTCAGCACAGAGCTTTTTTGGAACTTTGTCTATCAAATGTGAATGTTCATCTGAATCACCCTGGACAAAGCTGCACATTCCTCTGCAGTGATCCCCGAATCTTCCCTTGATCTGTGTCCCCTCTGTAGGATTTTTCACGAGGGGCTGCTAGATATCTCTTGCCACTCACCATTTACCTCCACCAGCTGGAACAGACTAACTTGTACACTTAGAGGAAAACCCTGGAACACAGTAGGCTCCAGCAGCCGGTTCCCTGGGGATGGACAGTAATGAGCAAGAGAGAATGCTGGATACCAGCATAGTGATGGGGGTGGTCAGCTTGGTTGGGGACTACCACAAACTCCCACTTTCTAGGTCAACAAACATGAGCTCCTGGCCAATCAGGGCTCAGTGGGGCAGGATGACAAGGCATCACAATTGGCTCTGTGATCCTGCCCGAGAGAGAGGGGCTTTCTTCACAGGGTTATCATCATGATTGATCTGGTTTTCTATTGCTGTATAACACATCACCCAAAATTTGTTCCTTAAAAAAAATCAGTTTACTCAGGAATTTTCAATTTGGGCAGAGTTCAGTAGTGAAAGCTCATCTCTGCTCCATGTAGTATCAGCTGGTATGGTTGTTGAGGGAGGGAGGGAGGCTAGAAGTTCCACTCCCAAGGTAGCTCACTCACATAACTAGCAAATTGGTGTTGTCAGCTGGGAGCGCATCTGAGGCTGAGGACCAACGGTCTTGTTCCTCTCCACAGGCTTGGTGACAGGGTTCAAGAGAAAGTATCAAAACTGACAGGAAATGGAAGGTGACAGTTTCTTGAAGCCTGGGCCTCAAAAGCAGCATAGTGTCATTTCTGCTGTATTCCATTGCTTAAGGAGCCACAGAGTCCAGCTTCCAGGAGAGTGAACACATCCCACCTTTTGATGGGAGGAGTTTCAATTTGGGCTACACTTCCAGAGGAAGTCCTGAAAGATGGCGTATCATTCCCTTCAGGATTCAGCTTGAATAAAATTAGACGGGAACTTAGACTAGTAGGGGATACAGACAATAATCAAACACTTAAATCTCAAACTAAGTCATTATTCAAATAAATAGCATTATAGTTATGACAGGTGCTAAGAAAGAAAGGAATGAGAGTATTTTACAAGGAGATTTAACCCAGTCTAGGGGTAAAGGGAAGTCTTCTGTGGGGAAGCGATTTTTGAGCTGGAACCTAGGAAGATTATTAGGAGGCACTTAGTGAAGAGGGGAGGGCCAGGTGAGTGGGAAAGGGTTCCAGGAGGAGAGAACAGTATCCATCAAGTCCCTGGGGTAGCAGAGTGTAGTAATGCAAAGGCCGGTATGGCAGGCAAGAAAAGGATGTACCAGGCAAGCAGGGGTGGAGGCCAGAAACTTGGTAGAGCCTTACTAAGTATGAGGCCATGCTAAGGACTTTGGTAATAATTATTCTGGGGGCAAAAGAAAGCTACTGAAATATTTTAAACAAGAGGGTGATGTGATATAATTTATGCTGTGAAATGTTCTCTCTAGTTGCAGCAAGGTCTACATGTTGGCAGGGCCTGAAGTTGTTGCACAGAGACGACTCATACTTCTGAGGCTACTGCAAGTTTTCTTTATCAGAGGAAGCAGTTGATAGTTTGGGAGTCAGATGGTGTCAGAGGAGATGGAGAGTAGATGGATTTAGGATGTCCTGGCGGTAAAACTGTCGGGACTTAGCCGTGATGGAGAGGATGTGGGGAAAAGGCTGTTTTGGTTGTTTATTGCTGCAGACTACCACAAAACATAATTAATGACTTAACACAGCAACCATTTCATTATTCGCTCACGAGTCTGCAGTTTGAAGAGGGCTTGTTGGGGCAGCTAATTTTTGCTCTGCCCAATCAGCTGGCATAAATAGCTCATATGTCCATGATCTTAGTTCTTGCTGCTAGCTCAGTCATTTGGTTCTCGTCTGCGTACCTTCTTCATGTGGTTACCTTGGTGATCTCTGGGAGCTTGTACTCACATGGCAGCTGGTTTCCTCTAAGTGCAAAAATGGAAGCTGCTAGCTTTGCCATGTTCTATGGATTAAAGATCAAAGGCACGCCCAGATCTAAAAAGAAACCACACAAGGGCTTGAATACTAGGTGTGGTCCATTGTGGGACAGCAAATCAAATCTACCACAGTTTCCTGGGCTTCTAACTTTTGTATTTGGTTGCATGATGATGCTATTTATGGAAATGGGAGCACTCAAGGAGTGTTGCTCCCATTTTCTCCATTAAAAAATAAATTGCCACCCTAGCTGGTGTAGCTCAGTGGATTGAGGGCGGGCCTACAACCCAGAGGATCGAAGTTCGATTCTTAGTCAGGGCACATGCCTGGGTTGTATGCCAGTTCCCAGCAGGGGACGCACGAGAGGCAACCAGACATTGATATTTTTCTCCCTCTTTCCTTCCCTTCCCCTCTAAAGATAAAATCTTAAAAACAAACAAACAAACAAACAAATAAATAAATAAAATTGCCGTACTCTGTTAGAGAAGGGTGGCTGTATTTCAGGTTTTTCTTCCTCAGAGTTGCTTTCCCTGATCCCTCATACTGGATTAAATCTCTTTGTTGTATATATTCCTGAGGCTCCCTGGGTATTCCCTTTGACATTCATCCACTGGGGAGCATTGTCAAAAGTCAGGCTCCCCATTAGACGTGCACTGGGTCCCACTTGTTCCTGATTCCCATCCCAGAAGCTCAGCTCACCGGACGTGCGAAAATTCTCCATCTCTGTTGAATTGAATCTCATGTCAATCTTTCTCCAAATGACAGGTATTCTGACCAGTTGGGCTCTGGAAATGGTATATTGTATTTATATACTAACTGAAACATATATTGTATTTTTTTAACCCCAGAGTTTTCCAAATATGGGTCGTTAAGGACAGAGCCAGCAAAGAAGTGAAATAACAGCTGATTTTCAGATGCTAAGTAGCTTTGACCTGTCCATTGGCTGTAAAATGCTGCAGCTGCTGTTCTCGGGTAGAAAACACAGAACCAGTGATGGCACCAATGCTGCCTATTCCCACTGAAGGATGAGAGAGGACCCGGGAGGAGGTCAAGAGCTTCTCTAGTCTTCAGTGGCTCCAAAGGAGTCAGGCAATATGCCGTGCCCAAGGGTGCCACGGGCAAAGGTAAAAGGACAAAGGAAAAACAAAGTCTTTTTTAAATATAAAATCATTTAATTTCTTTCTGGGCTAAAATACACTCAGTCCAGATGTGGGAGATCAGGTGACCAGATTTTTCAGGATTTGGACTCTTCGGGGAGCTGATTCCAACTGTGCCAAACCTGGCTCTGGTCACAGAACACTCACATCTTTAATTCCAAATACTGAATGGGATGCAAATGATGTAATCATACCTAACACATGGGTACATAGGTAGTTGGTGGTCACTGCACGAGGTATCAACAATGCAGGCTCAAAGAATAAAATGTACAGTAACTTGGCCCTTCCCCAAAACAGATGTATTAGGAGACTAAGTTTACCCCTTAACATGAATCCAAAATGAACACTGGTTAAGTGCTAGCTCCTGAGAGGAACAGTGCATGCAGAGACAGCTTGCGTGTGTGGCCAGTCGTAACAGAACGCTGCTGCAGTTCCAGCGGTGCCTTCTCACAACGCCAGTCCTGAGTGTGAGGGTGAAAATGACAGTAACATAGAGCTTGGCCAGGCTGATGGGCCCCATGTCCCAGCGGGGTTTGGAGTTCGGTGTAATTTCTACGTTTCCAATAGAAAGCATAGCCATTGCATTTTCCTACTGATCACTTCTTCCTGGCTGTGAGGCCTGGAGCTGATCAAGGAAGTTCATACTTTCTGGTTTGAGCAGATGAATCCCAGGGTTGCTACTCTGGGAACATGGATGCCTTCCAGCTTCCGTGTTCCTTGTGGTGAGGATTTTCACACTCCCCTCTTCACTGCTGATCACTCGGTGCAGAGAGCACTATCACTCGAACGACGAGAGCTTCAGTGTTTGCTCGAGCCTTGAGCCCGATTTCCTAGCCGCTGCCCCACCACACGTCTCCAACCTGCACTAATGCTCACAGGTCCAGTCTGGAGCTTCGTGCCAAGTTCTGCCAGCGAGAACGAGCCTCGCCTAGAGAGCTTACATGTGACTAGGAAACCTTCCAAGAGGTGTAGGCAAGAGGAAAATGCTTACTTTTACCACCATGCAGACAACCCATCTAAACTATATAACCCGGAAAAGTATAGTTTAACAATATTCTGGACCGTACCAAATAGATAAATCTATCGTTCAACCAAATGTGAATAGCTTTCCCTTGAGGAAACCAGATGTGAGCGTGGTGGTCTACTAAGTAGTAAATAAAACAGTACCCTTGGCATTATAAAAACAGACGATAGGCCTGACATTTATTGGAGTTAGTGTTGCCTCTGTGTGGTACCAACACAGATGACTAACGTCTGCCATGAAATCCATAAAATGTGTGACTGCGCTTCGTGGGCACGGAGAGCGGGGTCTCTTTTAGCTTGTCAAGTCAGTTTAATTATGGCCCATTTTCTAGGAGGGGTTGAGGTTGAAGAGAACGTTGATTTGTGTGTGCACAGGAAAACTTTCCATAAGCCTGTTGGGCTCACAGGCACCTTTTACCATGTAAATCCCTTCGGTCACTCAGAGGGAATCAAGAAAGCCCCCCAAACCCAGGAGGACAGACACAGTCGGACAGCAAAATCCGGCTGTCTCTGGAGCTGCCCCCCACCCCACACACAGCTGAGCGGCTGCCCCCAGCAGCTACCAGCACCCCACTCTTTACCTCTGGAGGCATCTCCTGACCCTGCGGAACGTGAACCATGCCAGACACATCTGTCTGAGTCATGGCCGGGCATCAGAAATGAGAAACTCCACTCTGAAAATCGGCTATCATGTTGAATCTCCATCCAACAGGGACTTTTCTCCCAAACTGAGGAAAATGAGTGTTGACTGCAGCCGCCTACTGATCCTTCCAGGTTCAGATTCCTGATGATCTGGACGGCTCAGTCTGGTGGCTTGCGTCTGCAGGAAGACCCAGAACCACGTGGCCAGGACAGCAATTTACCCCTTCCTCGTCATCAGGGGGAGAGCTGCCTGCCTTTGAGGGACCTTTCATTCCATATACTAAGTTGGTATAGAGTCTTGGTTCCTAACGACTGGGGGACAGGTGTCCTGATGGATGAAGGACTGCCATAGAAAGAATGCAGGGTCACAGGGTCTGGGGGGACAGGAGCATTCTTGGGGAAGATTCTGCTTTACAAATCTGGCTAGAATCACCTGAGAAATTGGGATGATCTCACACTTTCTACCTCATAATCGCACTACCATGTAGCTCTGCCACTATCACTTGTGTGACCCAGGCCAACCATTCATCCTCTTGGGGCCAGTATTCTCATTCATAAAAATGGAGATAACAGGTCCACTTCACAGAGCTGTGCAGAGATGAAAGGAAGAAAATGCATGTGAGAGCCCCTGCTTCATGCTAGGCACTCAATAAATGTTGACTAGGTGAAAAAACATTTCTTACTACGGACTACAGGGCACTGCGTTGGACAAAGAGACTGCTGGGGCCAACAGCAGACCCCCACCGCCATGGAAAGAAGGTCTCTCCCTCTCCCTCTAGGCTTGCGCGAGCAAGTAGTCCAGTCGGCTGGCAGTGCCAGCTCCCCTTCGGTCTGACCACTGCACCTCTGTGGGGGGCAGGGACCCAGTTCCTGCGATGTGGCAAAAAGAAGCAACAAAAAGGACATACTCTGGGCACTATGATGGACTGAGAAGTGGAGACAAAGTGTTGCCTTTTACCTTCACCCCCGGGCCCTACTTCCATTGAACTGTTTCACTCTATTGCTTTTAATTTCTGAACTCTCTGAAGAAAGAGAGAGAGTTAAGGAAGTAGAAGAAGAAATTCAAATCAGGCATTTTGCTAATAATTCTGAATAGAGATTAGACAAATAGAATACTATTGACTATAACAGTTTACGTTTCTCCACATTCCCCTTAGCAAATGGAAATATGAGTAGGAACATGTTCCAAAGGCTGAGCCCTGGGGAAGACGATGACGCTCATGTAGAGAGAGATATAATTCTTGGTGCACTTTGTAAATGACTAATATTAAGCTGCTCTGGCTGCGCCTAGGAATGACTGGTTAGTGAGGAAGGGAAGGCAGAAGACTTGAATCTGCTGTGGGACGCCCTGAACTACACTCCTGGAGGCCCGGCGGGTGTGGGGCAGGAAGGCTGAATCCAACGTACTGCCATTAATTCAACCTAGATGAACTGTTTGGGGCCCCTGGGGCTAATCCCCAGGAAGGATTCTGTGGTAAGTCTGGCTCCACGTTCAAGTGCCTTTAACTCAGCCCGCCAAAGTTAGCGAATTGTAAAGTGTTCGTCATTTCCTAGTTCTGTATTATCAAATGGAATTAGGAACATAAATAACAAGTAGCAAAACCCCGACCCTGTGTAGAACTATCATCCTCTCAGCCCCCTCTGCGTAGGCCAATAAGTTTGGAAAGTTTTTCACAGTTTTCAAGTTTCAGCGACTCTGCTTTCTGTTTCAGTCGTTCATCTCTGTATAATCCTGCCAAATTTGTCAACTCCGACTCTGAAAGATAAAAAAGGTAACCAAATCATCAAAAACACTTGCGCTCCTTCACGTCATTTCGAATAGCTCTGAAATCAAAGTTCCTTTTACTTTATTTCATGTTTTCTCTTTCGATTAAATTTAAGAAACACTCATTTATTCCAGAAACACGTGTCAGGCAGCCATCCTCCACCAGGCGCTAAGGATTAAAGGGCACCTGTGGTCCTGGAGTCGTCCGTATCTCTGCTCTATTATGAAAGCACCAGCCTCGGTTCTTATCAATAGAACATTTGGCATCAGACTTAGGAAGGCTCCATGTGTGCAGTAAGAGGAGACCATTTCACAGTCTTCCTACGAATGGTATTCAGACGGCAGTTGGGAGAGAACGGACTCCAATCGCCTGTTCCTGTCATCTGAAACAAAGACAGCTGCTTCATTCTTTCCCTTGTGCTGCTGGATCATAACTCATACTCACTCACTGACACACGCCTACCTCTGGTGGGTAGGCCTTCTGTGGAAAGCCAGGTTGCCGGCGGCTTCCTTCATTCCCTCCCCACGTGTGGGGGTCCCTAACTCAAAGGCCAGAGGCAGCTGGGCTCCTTTAAAAGTGAAATCATCCGGGTCTGGTGACTAAATGAATTTCATTTTCTCTTAATGGTGGAGAAGGTCATTCTATTTTTAACCAGAATATAATCTCCGCAGTCTTCCCCAACTCAACAGTAGTTAGCGGCCTCTATTTTTTATTCTTTCGTAAAGTTTTGGAGACAGTGTTGGAAGGAGAGGCCTGGAAAGCACCTCCTGAGACATGCTGTGTACGGACTAACAGGAAGGCAGGCTTGGATGGCCTGCGTGGCTTCCGAAAGCCTCTGACAGCAGGCGGCTATGCAATGTTTAAAGGACCATGCTTGTGAAAATGCTGTTTTAATCATTTGGAAATATGCTACCCATTCTTAATCATCTTGCTGACAGATTTTGTTTTTCTTGGTGGAACCAGAGACACCTGTCTGATTAATCAGTGAACTTCCTGGAAACAGGAATTAATACTTAGACAGGGGAACAATGGGCACTGGTTTCTGAATAAGCTTCTATCAACACAAAACACCGCCTGGCATTTCTGCTCACAATGATTCTATTTACACCAAGTAAGGCCCAAAGTGCGGACTAAGGGCAGGACTCCAGGGTGAAGGGTGGGTATGCATGAAAACCCTCCCCCTACAATGAGGGCTCAGAGCCTGGGCCCTAGCTCAGCAGTTGCTTGGCAAGCGGCGAGTCTCCTAGGCTTCAGAACAATGCGCTCTCTTCCCTTGGTGCGGGTGCCCGTGGTGCCTGCTAGCCAGAGCTTGCCTTGGCACGGTCTCCTTGCAGGTGATGGGCTTCATGGAGGAACATGTGCTGCACCCAAATGAAAGCCCTCCGCTCCTACGTCCTGCCCAGAGGGCAGCATTAACTCATATTTCTCTGGCTCCTTTGGCTTGTGGGAAAGCTGTTCAGGAGGCCTCTATAAAGTCAGTCTGTCCCTTTGGTCCTCTGGAATCACAGTTACACCAGTGTATGGAACAGGTTCTGTGGCTTTGCTTTTCCTTGCAATGATTTCTGTAGGTATTTTTTCTCCTTCCTTCTCGTCTTTTTTATTTTTGATTTCCTTAGGGTTTTTGCTTACTAAGCTTATCTAAATGTCTCATTGCTTGAAGTCTCATTCCAGAAAATGTCAAGGCTACTGATTCGTACTATTTTCTACATTGAAGACCACGGTAACAAGCTGGTGAAAGATAACTACGCATATGTGAATGCTTTTCATAAAGCTCACCGAAGCTGGGTTTCACTGCTCTGGAGCTTGAGACCCTGCCCCAGAGCAACGACTTTGCACAAGCTTAGTGATAAAAACCCACGTCTCAAACCCCCACCACCATGCTTAGAGAAACTTCTCTCCAAACTGCCTTTCGATGAAACAAAAGGTCAATTCAGTGAATATGTTACGTTTGACAGGTTCGGTTAATATTCAGTAACTTCTAAGAGAAAAAAATCTTTGCGAGGGACAGGATCAAGAGAGCATCTTTTCTTGTTTGTGAAAGGTTTACCTTACCCTGAATGCCAGTATAAGAGGTGGGCAGAGCATTGAGCCTTCAAGGTAAACCTACTCAGACAAGGTGCCAAGGTGTCAAGCAAGTCCCAGAACCTCTCCCGAGAGCACTCTACAAAAACCCAGATCACAATCTTGACAGTGGAGGACCCCAACAGATCCCACCCACCCTTGTGATGCAGCCTAACGAGACAGTGCTGCATCCAGTCTGGCAAGGCCAGTCAAGGCCCGACTCCACCAGGAGCAAGGCACTTACTACTTGCCAGACACCGTGCTAAGCACCCATTCCATCTTCTGTAACCCATAAAACCTCTCTAGGAAGAAGTTCGTTTACCCCCACTGCAGAGCCTAAGCTCCGACCCACTCTGTTCCCGGCTCCAGGGCATGGAAAGCAGAGCTCCTCCGCCGGACAGAGCAAGGAGCTGGGCTCAGCGCAGCAGGGCCAGGAGGCGGTTCCTGCCTGTTACTCCTGCCCACCCCAGCCCAGTGGCATGGCCACTTCCCCTGGCATCAGGTTTAGTTTCTAGACACAGCTGTGAAGGAGAAAACAGGGCAATTAGTGTTCATAGTAAAGAATTACTCATAGAATTCACTCAGATTAAGCATTCTAAGGGAGAGCAGAGAAAAGAAAGGAACAAAAGATTTAAAAAGACAATGGGTAACTTTGCTAAAACCGGTTCCCATTCGGTATTTTGCCAAGAGTGAACTTTGTTCTCAAGTGGGTTTATTTTTACCACCTCCAAGTGCTAAATTTAACCTTGTTGGCTGCACTTGCTGCTGGATCCGGAGGGCAGATGCTGCTCGTTCTCAAATGGCATTTGGGTTGTGTGGGGGCTACGGACAGTCACTGCCGTCCTTAAATGCCAGAAATAGATTTTTAAGGGGTTTGTGCTGATAGCCCTGGTTAGAACTTGTGGGTACATGCATCACATTTACTCACTGGATTTTTATTTATGCCTCAAGAGGGCAAAAGCCCCGAAACCAGGCCTCGTGAGGGTGAGGGCGAGCCACAGGTGCCCTGGAGGCCACTGCAGGTGCAATCCTTATTATGAGCTCCTTAGGGAGTTCCAGCTGGGGTACGTGTGCAGCTGGGTGTGTGTCTGAAGAATGTCAAATGCAGATTTTTATCCAGTTCTTGTAGAAAGCAACAAATTCAAAACCCTCCCAGGGCCCAAAACAAGGAGAGACCTTCAGGGCACACACTGCGGCCTTCACTGGATTTGGGTCTACAAATACATGGCCTTTCAGTCTGAGGCCTTTATGTTGATCCAAATTCTTTCTCATTTTTGGAAACTTGTAGGATACTCCTAAACCCTCACACTTTTCAATAAAAAAGCAACTTTCTCCTCTCGCTGAATTCCCCCTATGCCCCAGAGTCATTGCCTACCATGCTCCTAATGCAGCTGAGAGTTCAGCTGGGCTTTGCCCTATGGATGTAGAGGGCAGAGACAAGGTCCCTTGGGACCGGGGTTAGGACACTGACCCTGTTCTGTGAGTCCTAATCCTCAGCATTTTCACTGTTTTCCAGCCCTGAGACTCTTCTCTTCCAAAGACGTTTGTTGAGCACCTGTTCTGAAACGAGGACTGGGCCAGGTGCTGGCGACACAAAATTCGTAAGACATGGTTCTTGTCCTCAGAGCCCACAGTCCTGAGCGGAGACTGACAGGTACCTACAGAACACTAGCGCTGTGAGAGCAGCTCTGTGTTAACGGGGTGAGCAAAGTGCTTGAACACACAGGAAGGAGAGATTAACTGGGGGTGGGGCTGGGATGCATGATGGGTCAGCCGGGGCTTAGCAGCACTGTGACTGAAGAGCTAATTTTATCAGACACTTTCAGATGTTTAATAATACCCAGTACTAAGGTTTAAAAAAAAAACAAGTTAGACTGCTTTTTAAAAATTAACCAAAGCCAAGTTTTATAAGAAAGTTACTAACCATGTGTGTGTATATGTGTATATCGTCAAGTGGGATAAAAACTGAACTCGTTGCCTGAGAAACAGGGCTACACTTGCTACCAGCACTCCCCATTAATACTCACTGGAGCTGTCAGCCAAGTGGCTGGTGCTGTTGCCCAGACCGTCTCCGCAGAAGGAAACAGAGTGGCAGGCCTGCCCACGCCTACTCTCACTGAAGGGGCTGACCCAGAGAGGGTCACTTTTGCTCTGTGTGTCCACAGCCGACAGGAGAGGGAGGGAGGGGGCATGTGTCTCAAAAACAAAAACCTGTAGACCTTTGTTCTAGCTCAAAAAGTTAAGCTGGATCAAACAGATTTCCCTCTCAGGAATGTGGCTGGAATTCGGAAATTGGACCAAATCGGCTACCAGCAAGAACTTACAGAGGAAGCTTGTAATAAAAGAAAAGGGGCCAATGACTGGTAGGACTGGAGACGTCAGAAGAGCGACCACAGAAGACACGGCTATGAAGGAGGACAGCCCGAAGAGGCGAAGGAAGGAAGGCGGAGAGGGGGGCAGATGGGCAGAGGCTCAGGGACAGAAGGACAGAGAGGCGTCCGGCGCTGCCCACCTAAGTTCCTAAGACTTCCAAGTCCTGGCCACATGTGTCCCATCAATAAACGTCCCTTTTTTAAAATAGAAGCCTGAACAGGCCTCCGTCCTGTCTCTGTTCACATAAACGCGTGCGGCTCAAACGAGGAGAGAAGACTGATCAGGAAGCTGGGGGTACCTCAGGTTGGAAGCATGGCCCCAGCAAAGGCCTCTTTCAGAGCATCTTACTTTGTTGTTTCTCCTTCCAGCAGCTCGTCTGGATGTAATCAATGTAATCCTTCTCTATCGTCTTCTCCAGCTCACGCAGAGACGCTCCCCTGTAGACCTTGTCAAAGTTTTTATCCACAAAGTAAGGCACCTGCAGGTTCTGGGTTTCTCTAGAAATGGTGTAGCCCAAGTTCCTAAAACAGGGAGAGAGAGGCTTAGGTAAGCTTGTTATATTTGGCCACATCACTCAGCACTTGGCCTCACAGACATCATGATCACAATGACCTCTGCACAGGGCAGACGTAGATAGGGTCTAAGGCACCTCATGTTGATAATTTCCCTCGCAAAGTAGTTCGTGTAATGTCATTATTGCTCGTCCATGAGCATCTTCATGCTGTGGATTCAGCCTCAGCTGAATTCTCTTAAAAGATTCCTCTCTTATACTGCATTCTATGCTAAAAGTAGAATGCTAATGTCCAAAAATCAGTTTGGATATTGCGTAGGACCTAGTGTAGTACCTGGTGCAAACGAGCAGGCTATTGGTAAATGCTGGTTGAATAAACTGATTGTTACAGTAAACTATTTACAAATAAGCAATTAGCTTACACCCACTAAGCATCAATCTGCAGGACACAATAAAAAGTTCTTCACACATAGCTGCTAAGTAAGAAATGCAACAACCACAAACAAGACTCCGACACAAGATTCCAATGATGCTTCTGGGCTACTTCAGTGGGTCTAAGGTCTCCAACGGTATCTGGTGCTTAGAAACAGTGACAGGTCTGGGTTAACTAAATTCTAACCACGAAAAAGTATAGACGTGAACTCGAATTCAAGGTAAAATAATGTAGCAGCAACGTGCAAAGTGCAAGCTGGACAAATTCTATCTCAAATGAGCTACACTTGAACTTTTCTCAGCCTCCTCCTTTGATGTCTCTACTTCGGGAACTTGCTGAGTGTCCAAGAGCTCAAGCCACGACCATTCCCACCTCCCTCTGCGAAACCGCTAGCAGTTTCCTGACTGCCCCCCACTGGCCTGACAGGGAAGGAGGCAGCAGCACATGGAGAAACAAGGGAATTCGGGAAGTGAGGGTTTCAGGCCTAATAGTGTGATCTAATAGCAATGACCTAACTGTGAGTCTCAGATTTCCTCTCTGTGAAATGAGGGTATTGACTTAGAAGGACGGTTTCCAGTCCACAGTGGTCACCAGCAAAGACTCTTTCTCCTAGGTATTGCCCCATGGATTGCATGTTTTAAGGTTTTTGTCCACTAAGCTATAATAATAAGTAATGGCCCATTTTGTCATTATTAATTTTTTAAAATAATGATTTTTGAACTTTAGCAGGGTCCAATAATAACCTGGAGTGCTTGCTCAAACGCAGACGACTGGCTCTCACCCTCAGAGTTTCTGGTTCAGTAAATAGAGAGCAAGGCCTAAGAGTCTGAGTTTCTGACGTGTTGCCAATTGATGCTGATGGTCTGGGGACCAACTTTGAGAACTGAGTTCATTGAAATAATTAATGAAGAAAATTTAAAAATCCTATTAGAGCTCACAATCTTCATGTAATATAAGCATTACAATGCATTTCTATATTTTCACCAAAAGTAAGGAAATGTGGTAAGTATGGTTTGATTATATAGCCTTATAAATAAATGTCCTATTCTTGCAAGTTCTTAAATTTAAAATCAGTGGATTTCAGTTACTATGTTCCCAGACGTACAGGAGTCCAGCAATCCTATCACAAGCTCAACAGATCCCTTCTAACTTGAACACGGCATGATTAGGATTTAATCTGAAGCTGGAGTTACTTTCTATTCATCTTTCAGAAATTGTTGTTGTTGTTCTGCAACTGACCAGATGATGTCGCTGTAGAACAAAACAATCCATGTCCTGAGTACTCAGAAAACTGCCTACAGTATTTTTGAGTCTATGCACTATTATCCAGCTGTTGGCTTTAAACACAAAAACATGTTTTCTACAACAAAAGGTAAAATAGAATATTAGTTATTTACAGGAAAAACTTCAAGTCTTTCACCATTCAGATTGTTAAGATTTATAAATATTTGACTTACGATTTGTAGAACAGACTATATGGGGGATTAGTAGCTAGCAGCTGAGTAATGACAGATATAATCACAATCACAAGAACTGGAAGTAATTGGATAAATGCAGAATATGTAGTCTGAAAAAGAAAAAATATCTAGTGTAAGTGTTCTTCATCAATATAAAGCTTATAGGAAATAAGATTGTTTTCCCAAAGAAAAATACAAATTAGCAGTGCATTGCGCAAAGCCCAAGGCTTTTGGGAGAAGGCTGTGCTTTGCTGAGAAGTACCAAACAACTCTGTTCTTTCTGCTGAGAAAGCTAAAGGATGCCCACCCACAATCCGACTGACACACAGTAATTCTCCTGTATTCCCCTTTTCTAAGACCAGTGAAGCAGACACCTCAGGGTGGGTCTGCCCAGACTGACTCCCCTGGGGCCTTGTTAGTATTGCCCAATACTATATAACTCTGTTGCCTCGGCCACAGCTGAACAGACTGGGGGACCCTAGCAGGGATAATCACATTCTTCCCCCTCCTAGGAATTTGGGATTGTAACTCATCATTATTTACTGCTAGGCAGTCACTTGAATAACGGACACATACTCTTAGGCACTGGGGTCCGGCCGTTTACAACAGTAAGTAGAACAAGCCAGGCCGATCAGAGAGAACACAGCAGATGAGAAGAGGTGGGGAAACTGGAGACAATCTGGCCTCAGCTAGTCATGGAGCACAGTTGTGTGGGTGCCCGGCAGCACACGTTCCTGGTTCCCATCTGTGGTGAGGTTGAGCTGTGCTCCCCACCCTTGAGCTTCATGAAACCTCTGTGATCCCTTACCTTGAACCCCCTTTAGTTTTAAATATTTGGAAGGTTAAAGATTAAAAAATTTTTTTTTAAATTTAATTATTGTTCAAGTACAGTTTTCTGTCTTTTACTCCTATCCCAGCCCTAAAGGTTAAAGATTTTATTTATTTATTTTTAGAGAGAGGGGAAGGGAGGGAGAAAGAGGGAGAGAAATATCAATCGATTGCCTCTTGCACGAGCCCCAACTGGGGACCAGGCCCACAACCCAGGCATGTGCCCTAACCAGAAATCAGACCTGCAACCTTTTCCTTTTGGGGACGACACCGGCCAACTGAGGCACACCAGCCAGGGTGAAGAGGGTTCTTATTTTCTGCAATCAAGAATACCTTGGTCAAGGTACCCCACAGGGGAAATGATTTCCTGGGACAGCCACTCAAGAATGGTTACTCTCCTGTTCTATTTGGGCCAACTATCCAGGTCTGCTTACCGCAGCCTCTGCTTTCCTAAGGCACATTTCGGTAACAAACTTCGGTTTGAACTTCTAACACCCGGGATCATACACCATAAAGGCCAGCTCAGTACAAATGTTTATGAGCAGCATCTCACCTGTCCTCCCCACGTACCTGAGGTTTATCTTCTTCCTCCTCCTTTCGCGTCTGCATCCTCTCATGTCGGTGCCGCCGGTGGTAATAGTGGGCATCATCTGTCACATTGGAAAACATATGAATATTTCCTGAAAAAGAAAGAAAAACCTTAGTACAGGGTGTGGCAAACACTCCTTCCTTGCTTCCCCCAAGGTTCTTCCTCCCAGTGAGGTTCTCTGAAGGCAGAATATTGTCCCATCTCTCCCAGCAGAAAAATAAAACAATAGGCAAACCAAGTGAACTAGCTGGAGATGGAAAGTGCTTAGCTCTCTGCCTTTGTTTAAATAGTCCTTTGTAACCAGCGAGTGATAGAACCGTAAAAGGCAATTAAAGAAAGAGCATTCAGGCCATGAGTCCTGTCTGACATACCTATGTTTGCTTCCTTGCCCAAATCATAATCTTTAATAGCAACACATGAAATTCAACTTACTTCCTGGGCATTTAATTATCCCAATTTCCAACTTGCTGAGGGTGCTTTTCTAACTTTTATCTCTGTATAGCTGCTATTTTGCAATAATAATAGGCATTTTGCTACTAATTAATAAAGCACTTAAAAATATCTACTCCTCACAGCAGCCCTGTGAGGTAGGTATTGTTAACCCCATTTTTCAGGTGAAGAAACAGAATAAGAGAGACTAAGTGATTCGGTTAGAATCACGCAGAGTTGGAGGCTGGAGACTTGCCTCAAATCCAAGTTCACCTGATTCCAAATTCTTGCTGTTTTCACCATACTCTCTTTTTTTTTTTTTTTCATGACAATTCTGGGATACTAACCTGTAGGAAATTGTCCTCCAAAGAAGACGTTGAATAGCTCTTCTGGAGTGATGTCAGCTTCAAAGTCCCTGTAATAATTATAAGGTCTGGCTCGAGGGGCAGTGAAAGTCACCTGTTCGTCTCCATATTCATCATAGCGGAGTCTCTTGTCAGGATTGCTAAGCACTGCAAAGGCATTTCCTATTGCTGCAAACAAACAAAAAAGTTTGAATCTATAGTCTTGGCTGTAGCTGAAGGTGATCACAGTAGCAGCGATGCAGAGCCCGGAGCTGACTGATGCCGGGCAGCTTCACAGGGGCCTAGGGAGGTGCTTGGGCTTAGAAAATTCACCGAAGTGCTTGCCTTTGAAATTTTCCATGATCTAGTTAGAAAAGCTAGAAACAACACTGGACTCCAGATAAACTAAGAACTACTGCTTTCATTCATAAAAATGTGTTCTTATTTCACTTGAGAGCAATAGTTTATGGTTGGGAATAGTTCGTACATAAGTAGTGGTGTTCCAATTTGAAGTTTAGCAACAATTTTCTGAAGAAAATAATCAGTAAAATTATTGTTTGGCTAGAAGCAAAGTCCTCACTCACCACAATCTTTTCCAGCTTCCTTTAGAAAATGGTCTTTAGAACCCTGGCTGGTGTGGCTCAGTAGAGTGAGCACCCGCCTGTGAACCAAAGCGTCGCCAGTTCAATTCCCAGTCAGGGCGCATGCCTGGGTTGCTGGCCAAGTCCCCAGGAGGGGGCGTGTGAGAGGCAACCATACATTGATATTTCTCTCCCTTTCTTTCTCCCTCCCTTTTCCTCTTTCTAAAAATAAATAAATAAAATCTTTAAAAAAGAAAGTGGTCTTTAGAAATCGAGAAATGTATCTGTAATGTCTCAATGAAAGATCAAAGACTAAATCAATTACAAATGCTCTCATCACCTCTCTTCCCTATTTGTCCAATTCATTTCAAACATCTAATCCATACCTCCAATTAAATACACCCCAAATCTTTTAAAGGTATCCCCACCCCTATCTCTGATTCAGTCAACAGTATCAGAAATACAGAAAGAGCATTTCTTTATGATTCTTTTATGGGGGGAATTGTTGAATGTTTACAGCAATAAAACAGCTAAGCAAAACCAACAGCAACAAAAAGCCTCTAAATAGAGTTGCTTAAACATTCATATCCCTCGAAATCTGGCAGATATATCGAAGCAATGGCATTAGTCTGTGAGGTGCCGTGCGTGAAGAATGCGGGTCACCCACGCGTTTCTTTGTGGAAATGGGAGAACCGGATCCACCATGGCGCATCATCTGAGGTAAAGGGGGACTTTTGGAAATTTCTCAAATCTATCATTTTTTACTTTTTCTTTTGAAAATTTCAAATCTATAGATAAGTTGAAAAAATAGTACAATAAACACATGTATACCCTTTACCTTGACTCACCAATTGTTAGCATTTTGACACTTTGCTTCCCTCAATTCTCTATACATACATAAATACATACAATACATTTGTATTGCTTTCACTGAGCCATTTGGAAGTAGGCTGCAAGTATTATAACACTTTACCCCTAATATTTCAACATACGTCTCCTAAAGAGAAAGACATTCTTCACCCTGGCTGGTGTGGCACAGTGGGTTGAGTGCCGGCCCATGAGCCCAAAGGTTGTTGGGTGAGTCCCAGTCAGGGCACATGCCTGGGTTACAGACCAGATCCCTGGATGCATGCAACAGGCAGTAGATTCAATGTTTCTCTCACACAACAATGTTTCCCTCTCTGTCTTCCTTCCTTCCCCTCTCTCTATAAGTAAAAATAAATAAAAGACCTTCTCCTACACCATTATGACAGCTAAGCAAATGAACATTAATTATTACGCAGTCAAGGTTTACCATATATTTTGCATTTGGTTTCATATCCTTTTAGTTTCTTTTATTTATTTATAAAATCTTATTTATTTATTTTTATAAAGAGGGCTAGGGAGAAAAACATCAATGTGAGAGAGAAACATTGATCAGTTGGCTCTCACACACCCTCAACTGAAGACCTAGCTGGCAATCCAGGCATGTGCCCTGACTGGGATTTGAACCAGCAACCTTTTGGTTCACAGGCCAGTGCTCAATCCACTGAGCCACACCAGCCAGGGCTCTTTAGTTTCTTTTAATCTAGAATAGTCTCTCCAACTTTTTTTGCTTTATATTATATTAAATTTTTTGAAAAGTAGTTCAGTGTTTTTTGTAGAATGTCCCATATTTTGATTGTTTCTTCAATATTATATTCAGGTCAAACATTTTGCCAACATACTATACCACATTATGTAAGGTTGTTTCAATATTGGTAATATTGGGTCATTTGATTAAAGTGGTGACAGCTAGGCATCTCTATTATAAAGGAATCTCCCCCATTATTATAATCAATAAGTATTCTGTGGGGTGATACTTTGACACCATGTAAATATCCTATTCAACAGCCAACTATCACCCAATGGTTCTAGCATTGATAATTCTTATCTGAATCAATGACTTCACTGAGGGTGAAGCTCTTATGTAAGATTTTATTTGTGTGTTGGGTTCAAAATATTTTTTAAAATTTAATCCTTACCCAAGGATATGTTTACTAATTTTAAAGAGTGAGGGAAAGAGGGAAGGAGGGAGGGAGAGAGAGAGAGAGAGATGAGAGAAACATTGATCAGTTGCCTCCCAAACACACCCCAACCATGGATTGAACCTGCATCCTAGGTATGTGCCCTGACCGGTAATCACACCTGCAAACTTTGGTGTACCAGACGGACGCTCCAACCAACCAAGGCACCTGGCCAGGGCTCAAAATATTTTTTAAGAATGTGTTTCTGAAAGAACCATGGAAATCAATGGAAAAAAGATCACACAGATTTCTCCCATGAACATGTTGGGGGCTAACAGAGGCTTAATGAACGAGGGGCCCCACGGTCAGGGTTCAGGAATGCCGTCTAGGCCCTGCTTGCAAGCAGCCAGCAGCCTGTAAGTTCCACAAAAGGAATCATGTTTGTTTTACTCACCATGGCTCCTGGCACATAGATCTTCCACAAATATTTCCTGAACCAATGGGTAAATGGTCCCAAAAGGTATTATACAGAAACCAAATATTTTTTCCAAAAGAAATTAAGGTGACATGAATGAAGACAGGAGAGAGCTAGGCCGATGATCACTATTTAAGAGGTGTGGCAAGAAAAAAAATCCCTGCTGTGGCTTTATAAAACAGTTACAGGGGAGGCTGAAGACAGGGTGTGATGACTGAACATCACAAGAAGGGCAGAATGAAGCATTAGTTCAGGGTCAGACCTTTGAAAGCATCTGTTGCTCCAGGAGCACAGTTCTTGTCAGGGTGAAATTTCAGGGCGAGTTTTCGGTAAGCTTTCTTAAGCTCTTCATCACTGGCATCTCGAGGAACTCCCAGAATTTCATAGTAATTTCTGCATTTCTTGATCCTAAAAACACGCATCAGAAACATATATGTCTACAAAGGCCCCTTTTATATAATTAAGTGCGAAATAGTATATTGATCTTCCTTCCAGTTTGTGAGTCCCAAAACAAAACTAGAAGAAAATTGCCGAACACATGAATGAAACATTTAAAGTCATTAACAATGTCCTCCCACTGAGAGCGTAATGCCTTTCAAAGTAGTTTTACATCTGATATTTCACTCTTTCTGTGCCCCTGCAAAGAGCAGAACAAGGGCGCTAACCCTTCCTGTCAAGGTGCAGGCTCAGGTCCTAAGAGTTGAACCTGGGCCAGCAGAGCTAGAAGACACACCTGTCCACCCTATTTGTTTATATTTTCCCTTTCTCTCTCTTTATTCTTACAGCTATCACCTTTTTAAACTTTGTTTTTAAAAGTTAATACGAGTATACACACATGGTAGGAGAAAAATATCCAACAGTATTAAACTGCATGCAGTGAAAACACCTCCTACCCCCCCATTCCCTACCCCCCAGGCCCCACTCCAAGGGCAGCCACTGTTAGTTTTCCTTGAACCCTAAGCCCAGAGCATGTACATGTACAGGGACATCTCTATTTTTTCTTACCCAGATGGTAGGTTTTAGGTAGTTATAATCACCTTTCTACATCTTGGTGTTTTTTTTTTAATTAACAATTTATCTTAGAGGCTGATCCATAACAAATACAGATGAGAAGTACAGGATAAGAGTTTGGAGTGGCAGTTCTGAATTTTCTGATCTCAGAAATTTTTTATACTCTTACAAGCTTTTCTTTATGTGAGTTATATCTATCAATATTTACCATCGTGGAATGAAAACAAAAAAATTTTAAAACACAGCATGACGATATAATTACATATCAGGTAGCTTTTCAAAAACTCCACTGTATAATCCTGAAAGAATAAGAATGGAAAACCAAATAATGTACTTGCATTATTATGAAAGCAGTTTTAAATTTTCAGATCCCCCGAAAGGGTTGTAGAGTTCCCAAACCATACTCTGAGAACTGCTGGGCTAGAGCATGAACTGCGGAGTCAAAATGCCTTGACGGGGGTCTGATCTTGTAGTTGACCTCTGTGCCTTAGTATCGTCTTCTGGAATGGGCTAATGATGGTAACTGTTTTCACAGAGTTGTTAGGATTAAATGAAGAACTCATCAAAGTGCTCGAGACTCCTCTGTCTCTCCCTCTCTCTCTTCTATACATTACTTGTTTAATAACAGCTTTTAATAAAGCTGTAACTCACATATCACAAAGCTCACCCTTAAAATGTACAATTCAGTGGTTTTTAAAGTATATTCAGAGTTGCGCATCCCTCACCACTATCTAATTACAGGAATCCTCATCGCCCATAAAGAAACCCCGCACTCAGTAGCAGCCATCCCTCATTCTCCCACTCCCCAGCCTCTGGCAACCACTAATCTACTTCCTATCTCTATAAATTTGCCTATTCAGGACATTTTTTAAAATTTTATTTATTTATCTTTAGAAGGGAAGGAAAGGAGAGAGGGAGAGAAACATCAATGTATGGTTGCCTTTCATGTGTCCCCTGCTGGGAACCGGCCCGCAAGCCAGGCATGCACCCTGACTGGGAATCGAACCGCGGTTGTTTGGTTTGCAGACCTGTGCTCAATCCACCGAGCCACACCAACCAGGGCAGGACATTTTATATAAAAGGAATATACAATATGTGGCCTTTTGTGTCTGGCTTCATTTTTAAAAATATTTTATTTATTTATTTTTAGAGAGAGGGGAAGGGAAGGAGAAAGAGTGGGAAATATCAATGTGTGGTTGCCTCTTGCACACCCCATGCCGGAGCACTGGCTAGCAACCCAAGCATGTGCCGTGACTGGGAATTGAACCCATGACCCTTTGGTTCACAGTCCGGAGCTCAATCCACTGAGCCACACCAGCCAGGGCTGGCTTTCTTTACTAGCATAATGTCCAAAGTTCTTTCAAATTGTAGCATGTACCTGTACTTTATTCCTTTTTATTACTGAAAAGTATTATTGTGTGGACATTCCCCACTTTGTTCATCCATTCATCAGTTAAGGGACATCCAGGCTGTTTCCGGCTGGGGGGCACTGTGAATAACGCTGTGTGAACGTTCATGTATAGGTTTCTGCGTGAAGACATATTTTTATTTCTCTTGTTATATACCTAGGAGTGGTTTGCTAGGTCATATGCTTCCTCTTCTGAGGAAGTGCCATGCTATTTTCCAAACTGGCTGCACTGTTTTCCATTCCTGCAAGTAATGTACAAGGGCTCCAATTTCTCCACGTGCTCATTAATACTTGTTACTGTCCATCTTTTTGATTATAGCCATCCTGGTGGATATCAAATAGTATGGTATCTCATTGTGACTTTGATTTGCATTTCCCTAATGACAAATGATACTGAGCAACTTTGCATGTGCTTATTGTCCATTTGTCTGTCTTCTTTGGAGGAATGCCTATTCAGATCATTTGCCCATTTTTCTTTTATTATCATTATTAATTAAAAAATATTTTATATAGTTATTTTTAGAGAGATGGGAAGGGAAGAAGAAAAGAGGAAGAGAAACACTGATGTGTGAGGGATTTGGTTGCCTCTTGCGTGCCCCAACTGGAGACCTGGCCTGCCACCCAGGCATGTGTCCTGACTGGGAATTGAACTGGCAACCTTTCAGTTCACAGGCCAGCACTCAATCCACTAAGCCACACCAGCCAGGGTGTCATTTGCCCATTTTTCAAGTGGACTGTCCATTATTGAGTTGTAAGAGTATTTTATATGTTCTAGATATAAGTCCCTTATCAGAAATATAATTTGAAAATATTTTCTCCTATATTGTGGGTTGATTTTTCACTTATTTGATGGTATCTTTTGAAGTACAAAAGTTTTAAATTTTTATAATATTCAATTTATTTTTTTTTTGCCTGTGCTTTGGGTGTCATCTCATTGCCCAAGCCAATGTCACAAAGACTTACACTTATGTTTTCTTCTAACAGTTTTATAGTTTTAGCTCTTACATTTAGGACTTACATTAGGTCTTTGAGTTAATTTTTGTATTTGTGCGAGGAAAGGGTCCAAGTTCATTCTTTTGTATGTCGCTACTCAGTTGTTCCAACAACATTTGTTAAAGACGATTCTTCACCCCATTAAATTGTCTTGCCGCTCTTGTCAAAAATCAATTGTCCATAAATATAAAGGGTTATTTATGGACTCTCAAAATTCCATTCCATGGAATCTATGGATCTACGTGACTATCCTATCCTAGTCCACAGTCTTTACCACTGTAGCTTTTTGTAGTAAGCTTTGAAATTGGAAAGTGTGAGTCCTCCAACTTTGTTCTTTTTCAAGACTGTCTTGGCTATTCTGGTCCCTTGCATTTCCATATGAATTTTAGGAATATCTTGTCAATTTCTGCAAAAAGGGCAACTGGGAATTTGATAGGGATGTGTGAAATCTGTTGATCAATTTGGAGAGTATTACATATTACTAATAACATGCCTTAGAATCCATACATACTGGCTGTCTTTGCATTTATTTAGGTGTTTAATTTCTTTTAATCAAGTTTTGTAGTTTTCAAGGTACAATTTTACTGTTGTTAAATTTATTGCTAAGCATTTTATTCTTTTTTGAAGGTGTTATAAATTAAACTTTTTTTGAAATTGTTTTCTTTTCCATTTTGGATTATTCATTGCTATTGTATATAGAGACAATGATTTTTGTATATTGATCTTATATTTTGCAACTTTGATGAACTAATTTATTAGTTCTAATAGCTTCTGTTTGTGGGTATGTGTATATTCCTTAGGATTTTCTATACAAGATCATATTGCCTGTGAATATGGTTTTACTTCTTTCCAATCTGGATTAATTCTATTTCTTTTTGATCCGTAACTGCCCTGGCGTGGGCCTCTAACACAATGTTCAGTAGAAGTGGTGAGAGTGAACATGCTCATCTTGTTCCTGTCTTGTTTCTGATCTTGGAACACATTGCATTGTTCACCATTATGTATGATGTTAGCTGTGGATTATTTGTAGATGGCCTTTACCAGGTCGAGGAAGTGCCCTTCTATTCCTACTGTGTTGAGTGTTGTTGTTATGAAAGTGTTAGATGTTTTTTTAAAGACGGCAAGGGCCCTGGCTGGTGTAGCTCAGTGGATTGAGTGCAGGCCTGTGAACCAAAGGGTCATAGGTTCGACTCCCAGTCAGGGCACATGCCTGGGTTGTGGGCCAGTTCCCAGCAGGGGACACACACACACATGAAAGAAATTGACATTTCTCTCCCTCTCTCCTTCCCTTCCCCTCTAAAGATAAATAAACAAAATCTTAAAAAAAAAAAAGACAGCAAGGGAGGGAGAAAGAGAGGGAGAGAAACATGGATCCATGAGGAAAAACATCAATCTGTTGCCTTTTGCACACTTCCAACTTTGTTGATATTTAAAAAAAAGAAAAAAGGTCTTGTTGCCTTTATTGCTTTTCTATCCTCTATTTCATTTATTTCCACTCTGTATTATTTCTTTCATTCACTCTGTATTATTTCTTTCATTCTATTTACTTGGATTTAATTTGCTCTTCTTTTTTTTAGTTTGTTAAGGTAGAAGAAGAGTAAGTAATTGAGTGTATATAAGAATACATATAAACATTTATAGCCATAAATTTCCTTCTAAATATTGTTGTAGTTGCATTCTATACATTTCAGTATGTCGTATTTTCATTGCCATTCATCTCAAAGTATTTTCAAATTTTCCTTGTGATTTCCTCTGTGACCTATTTGTTATTTAGGAATGTGTTGTTTAATTTTCACATTTGTGAATTTCACAACTTTCTTTCTGTTGTTGATTTCAGAGAACATACACTGTATGATTTTAATGCTTCTGAATTTGTTGAGGCTTGTTTTATGACCTAACATATGGTCTGGACAACGTTCCATTGTATTGAGGAGAATGTGTATTCTGCTGCTTTCGGGTAGAATGTTGTATAGATGTCTGTTATATCTAGTTGATTTTCCCTGCCTCTCTTACAGCAGAAGCAGGGCAGACACCTCAGATTACACCCTACCACTCCACTTCTACCTAGTCCTCCCCTAAGGCTAAGAAGCTATTTTGCTTTAATATTAATAACAACAGCAACAACAACAGTCAATACTTATATAGCAAATTGTCTGTGCCAGGCACTCTCCATGAAGTCACTCAGCTAATCCCATCTCAGGCTCACCTTTGTACCCCCAGCAGCTGCTCCTCCGTGTAAGTGGCATTCCCCTCACCCTGCCATGTCTGATTCCACTCATTCTCAGACTTCTTTTCCTTTTGTGCCTTCATGCAGTTACAGCAGCCACAGGAGGCATGAGTTTCAGGAGGCCTGTCCTCTGCGTATTTGTTTCTTCTAACTGCATCAATGTAAGCTGCAAAGCAACAGTCACTCCGTTAGTCCTCAGTCTGACCTCCAAATCAACTTTGCTACCTGCCTTAGCCATCTGGGAGGCTGTTTAGGTAGGAGAGCTGAGTGTGAGGGCCAGACTACTGACATGCTGACTTTTAGGCATCCATAAAAAACAAACAAAGATGTTCCTTGAGAAAGCAATACAAGAAATACGGAAGCAACCATGAACTACTTATAATTCCAGAAACATGAAGCCATACCTAATAGTGTCCACCATGCCTAATAGTGTCCACCATACCTATAGTGGTCAGTCATTAAATAATTTTGACTCAGAGCCAGAAAAGGTGCTCAAGAGGTATCTGCTCAATACCTCACCTTTAGTGCAATGCAGGGGGAAGGCCTATTTTTCTGTGGTCGATGGTCAGAAGTGATACTGCTCATAAAATAACCTTTTTTGTTGCAATGTCTCCCACCACTAAGATTTAAAGTAGAGATGAGTTCCATTCTTTCTAAGCTAACAGTAATAGAACTAAAATGTACAAGACACTGGTTGGATAGATCAAGGAGAGGTACAGGTAAGATCTACTCCTGACCATAAAGGTGTTACAGTTTAAAGGGAGAGAATTCAATTAATCTTAACACCTGCAGAATGTATAGAGGGCCATAGCAACCCAGTCAAAGAAGGCAGAGTACTCATGTCCCATCTGGAGGATATGGAAAAGATTTTAAAAACATTATTCTCCTGCTTAACATCCCTTAGTGACTACACATGCTCCTTGTCCAGATTTCTTACCATGGGCCCAGGCTGTGTCTCTTGCCTCATCTCTCACCGATGCTCCTTTGCAGCCTATGCTCTAGCCACAGCAAACTCTGTGACCAGCAATGCTTTCCCTTTTCTCCTTTCCTTCTGCCCGCCACATTCTTCCTGCAAGGCAGCCTAACTCCAACGCATTCTTTATGTCATCACTGTAACACTGTCTCCAGAAGGCCTCCTCTGACATCCAGGCTGTGTTAGCTGCCTTGCAGTGTGTTTTCCAAAACTAGATCTTACTGTGTATAGCCCAGGACTTACTGACCCTGCTTTGTAATTGACTGTTTACCTGTCAAACTCCCTCAGTGAACCAAGAGTTCTGTGCTCTCTGGGGCCCACGCCTGTCAAATCCCTGCTGCAGGATCGGCATAATGCAGGGTACATAATAGGTATCGGATCAATACTCTTTGCCTGACTGTAGGATGGAAAAAACCGGCCTGTCGGTCCTGGTGTGGGCTGCAGCGACAAGACCAAACTGAGACCAAGGATCAGGTGGCCCCGTTTGGTAGTGAGCATAAGGGCCGGGTAAGCGAACTGCGGGAGACCGCATTGTCCCTCTGACCCTTTGGCCACCCTGGTGCGGGCGGGGTCTGATCCCCGCGGGGACCCTGGGCGGGGCCCGGGACAGGGCGGGGCTGGGGGCTGGAGGCTGCGAGGCATCACGGATGCCTCTGGGCTGCGGGCCTCTTTCTCCGCTAGAGCCAGCGCTCTAGGTTGCTGGGTCCCGGCCCCTGCCCTGGATGGTCGACCACCTCCTCATTTGGAACCCTGCTCAGGCTCAACATTTCACAGGCCTCCATCCTTCACCTCAAGCCCAGGAGCTCAGCTCTCAGGTACCGTCAAGGGCCCCATCCCTGATCGCTCCCGAACCCCGCTCTGTCCCACCCTATGGCCAGGACCTGGTACCTTCCGTCCAGCGCTCCCCGCTGCCCAGAGTAGCTGCCATTTCTGATTCCCAGTCAGCAGGTCTGCCGAGCCTCTCTGGTGCCTGAGGCTAAAGAAGATGAGGGGGGCCTGGGGGAGGGGGCAAGAAACGTGGAGCATGCTGGTCACTGTAGTCCAATCCATCAAAGCAGCTGGACATTGGACTACAACTTCCGGCAGGCTCCGCGACAGTTGGAGATGCAGCGGAGTAAGGGGGTTCTTCCTTTGGAAGCGAGGCAGGTGGAGGTGCGTTGTGGCTGGTTGACTGCTGCGCGGCCAGTGGCTCACAGCAGGAAACTGTGACCACTGTGGTCAGCGCTTTTCCTCTTCCGTACAGTGGGGATAGTGGCTTAGTCCCCGCCTAACACTGGGGACATTCAAGGAGGCCCAGTGATATTCTGCCTGGGAAAGGCTTCTAGCCAATGGGCTAGAGTGTAACCGTATGACTATTTTTCTCCTGAGGGATGTCGTTTCAAAATATATAAGAATGCCCTCTGGTCGGGTAGCTGGTCGGGTAAAACGTGGTCCCATACGCCGAGGTTTGGGGTTCCATCCCCCGTCAGGGCACATTCAAGAAATCAGCCAATGATTGCATAAATGGAAAAGTTGATCTCTCTCTCCCCCCACTCTCTCTCTCGTTCTCTCTCTGAGATCAATAAATAATTTAAAAACCAAATAGACACTAATGCCTGTTAGGAGACTCAGTCAGGTTTGGGGGATGCTGAACCCAACCCTGGGAAGTGAAGAGCCACGAAAAGTAGAAAAGTGGGGTGAATGTACGAGGGTAGAGGGCAGTCTGGATCTACCCTTCCTCCCTCAGCTCTTCTTCAGGCACAGTGTCATTACAGGGACCACTGGAGGTCAGGGGTGGAGAAAGAAGAACAGGGCAGGTGCACATCAGCTGGATACAGCCCCTGTCTTCGTTGTCCTTGACCTGCATCCCATCCTACTCCAGGACCCTCCTGAGACTTTTCTCCTCCCTTTTACCCCAGTAGTTTCCTCGGTCCATTCCCTTTTCTCTGAAGGCCACACTTCAGAAGATCTTCTAAAAAAGAAGATCAGTAAAAAGAAAGTGAAGAAATATTCCTGTTTTCCCTCACTCAGGTTTGCATGGAGCTGAGCATTTTAGCAAAGAATAAAACCAGTTCTTCAGCCCTGACTGGTGTAGCTCCGTGGATTGAGTGCCAGCCTTCGAACAAATCAGGGCACGTGCCTGGGCTGCAGGTCAGGTTCCCAGTAGTGGGTGCGTGATAGACAACCACACATTGATATTTCTCCCTCCCTTCTCCCTAAATAAATCTTAAAAACAAACAAACAAAAAACAAAAACCCAGTTCTGTGAAAGTGAAAAAATGATCATCGTCATCCCCAAACCAAACCAAAAAGCCTAAGGTTGTTTTGGGAGACTAGACATTTTGCTCTAGAAGGTGGAAAGGTGGGGTATGCCCTGGAGTCCAGGGGAGACACTCAGAGATGTCATAGTAGCATGAAGTTAGAGCTATTGGTTGAGAATGGAAGTTCTGGACAACTGTAGGGGCGATTGGATTGAAAAGCCATGCTAAATTATGGGGCTACTCAAGAGTAGAGTCCAGGTTCAAGAACGCCGGACAAGATTTGGGAAACTGGGGCCTCTTGGAAATACAAATACATGGTACCTCAACAGCCTTTCCCATCATCCTCTGAAACCTCACTCCCCCCTTCTTTTCCAGAAAACTCATTTAACTCCAAATCAGAAAAAAGAGGTTCAGAATTGCAACCTTCTGAGATAATTGCCATGCAGCTGTACCCTTCAGTTCATTTACACCTCAACTAACTCTTCTAAATGGATTTTCCTATGACTCTTATCACCAGTACTAACTCAGAACTCCAAACCCCAGCACTTAGAACAAACACTTCCATGCCAGTTTTTGTTTAAGCACACCAAACACTCAACAAAATAATTCCCATGGTCAAATTCAATCTCTGTGTTTGGTAAAAGAAGAAGGTGTGGGTTCAAAGGGTTCAGGATGGCGGGGTTAGGGAAACAACAGCAGGAAGAGTGAGAGAGCCACTGGGAAGGAAGTAAGGGAAGGGAATTGGGATCTGGAAGGTGGTTCACAAAGATAAGAAGGTAGGTGCAGAAGGAAGTTCAAAGAAGTGAGAAAGGACATCCGCTAATCCAGGGGTACCATTGAGCAGAGACACACAGTGTTTTCCAGCAGATTCAAATAGAATTAAGTAGCACTGACCTGACTTTGGGAAACTGTGTGCAGGACCTAGGCCAAGGGGGCGCGCCATGATTTTTGTACACTCTTTTGCCTAGAGCCAGCCTCTGATTTCTATCAGTTTTCTCTTCTAACTTTTAGAAATGCTTGTTGAACTGTAGTGAATTTTTGCTGGTGATTTTGAGGTTGGCCATGTGCCCTATATGGTTGAGTTGCTGCTCCATCCAGACCTGGAAGAAAGATGCTGAGTAAATGACCCCTCTGTCTGACTGGGACTGTGCACCAGAGCTGGTTTGCCCTCACATGGGATGGGGGGAGAAGTGAAAGAAGGACACTCTACAGCAACCACCCTGCCCCCACCACCCGTTCCTGCTTTGGAATTCTATAGTTCTGTGTTAGAATAGGGAGGAAGCTGTCTTGTAAATGCCCACCATCCTGTTGTCTAGACATCAAGGAAGAGATATTGTCTCAGGGAAGCTGCACTCGGATTTCCTGTCAGAGGTGGGGTCTTGTTTTTGCATAAATAGCAGAACCCCCTTCTATAGTTTGCTAGAGAGCAGAATCCAGCATTAAGTGAATTCATCCTCTACCCCTTTCAAAAGGATAGTTATTTAGCAACTGGAAAATGAATATGGCTAACGTGGTACTACAGTGCTAGTTTTAGGGTAAAAGCCTTTCAATCTCATATTAATACCAGTTGACCCCCTCTCCCCCACATATAAATACCTTATGACTAACAGCTCATATTTGCAGAACATTGTCCAGAGTCGGGGAAGCTTGTGGTCTTATAATGGAGACATTAACTGAGTTACCTAGAGTGAAACCCATGTCCTTGACCTAATTAGTCCAGTATGGTAAGCAGCCGAACTAAGTGCCCATGGTAGTCAGAATAACAACTGAAACAGAATCCAGTGCTTCTAGACATTGTTATGTCACCTGGAGGGTTCTATTCTAATGATGGATTTTTGTACTGGAGCTGGCTAGGCAGTCAGATGCTTTTTTGCAGTGTGGCTCAAATAAAATATATCTGAATTATTTTTTAGAAATGCTACAGTATTGCTGTCATAGGTTGGGAACTCCAAGAAACAGACTCTGAGACACTAAGATTTGCATGCTGACAGTTTATTGGTGAGTGCCTCTGGGAGCATCTCTGAGGCATAAGGGAAGCAGGATTGGGGCAGAAGTTGAGGCAAGAGGTCCAGGTCTTCATCCCCACACCCATCCCCATCAACCAGTCATCAACCAGCTGTGACCCCTTAGCAGCCAACACCTCCAGCAGTGGGGGGACAAGTGCCATGATCCTGAAGTGTGGGATCTAGACACAAGTGGTACACCATGTTTTCTGCTACAGTTGTCAACTAGTGCTTCCCAAGTATCTCCACATTTACCATTCCATTTTACAGGGCCATGAGGTAGACCGGGCCAGGTGCAATCATTCTTTCCTCTGTACATGTGAATACACAGGGAAATCTAGGTACAGAGGATGTAAAAGACTTGCCCAGAATCACCTAAGAATTGTCTCTGGCTTCCACTCAGAGTGATATCTACTCACAAGATTATTTTTTCCTACTTTGAGAGTTGATAGGACTTTAGAACATAAGGACCAGAAAAATCAGTAAAGGCAAGTAGTCCAACCACCTCACTTTAAAAAGCAAACAGGCTCCATGATGGGGGCTGATTTCACCAATGTTGAGCTGTGCGTCTGTGGCAAAGCCCAACCTCATGACTAGTCTTCTGCACTCAGGAGCTGGTGTTACCGACCTCCGACCTGCTGGGCGCAACGTGCCACGTGAGAGCTGCAGAGGTAAGCAGGCTGCGGGCACTGCCCAGAGGATTTTAGAATCCGTTAGGTTTCTTTAGTGCACGTGAATTGTTTCAGCGACACAGAAAAAATGAAACTCTTTGTTCTAGGATTTCTCTCTCTTATCACCTTGCGGAGTCTAAGTCCAGAAGAAAATAGCCTATTTTGGCTTCGGAATGGGTAATCTGTGTTCTCCCTGTTTTAAACCACCAACTAGCAGATGCTTACACGGAGTTAAACGCTGCCTGCAAACATACACAGATGACTTTTCCATCGACTCTTCCCAAGATTTTCAAACACAGATTACTAAGAAAACAGATAATTACTTTCTTTTTCTCCTTCTGTTTAAATGACTTTACATTATTTGTTATCCTTTATTTTTAGGACAAAAAGATAAAGCTGTATGGGGTAAAAAGAGTGGGTTTTGCTTTATAAAGTCGTAGACCTGTCTTCGCCCCAGACCGTCCCAGTGTTATTTCCACAGCTAGAACCACAGTGCGGGAGGTTTGCCCTGGGGCAGGTGGAGGACATTTGCCCTTTTAGTATTCAGCTCGTACCACTGGCATTTCCTAGTCAGAACACGTTGTGTCTCCCACGTTTTCACTCTCCAGATTTAATATTTCTCTACTGGTGACAATCGCTCACTGGCTACAGCTCCTCTTCTCGCCCCTCTATTAGAGTGGCTGGGCTAGTCAGTCACTTCATCCCTATACTCAGCAAACTAGATGGACAGAGGCAGCCTGACAAAAATTCTCTCCGCCTCCCAGGTCTCTCAGGGAGCTCCCGGCAGGGGCAGAAACTTGCATATGAGCCTCGCCTAGAAAAGGAGGCCCCAGAGCTGCTAGAATGTTCTGTTAAGAAATGTGCATGGGAGCATAGACCTTAAAAGAAATGAGACTGCAGGCCAGAAAATAATTTTAATGCCAAGTAGAATGGATGGAGCCACTTTGTCATTTTCCTTGCTTTTGCTCTGCAGATTTCTCCTTCCTGTGACGCTGAGAAGGTGGGAGGAACTGGCCATGTTCCTAGAGAGGCTGCTCGTGTCGGAGAGAGGATCTCATGTTGGTAGCTTGCTCCTGGGTCTGAAGGAACGTTAGTATCCTTTAGATCTGCAGGAATGTAGTATGGAATAGATGTGAAACAAAAAATAATTTATGTGGTTTATTGCCTCTATTGATCCCATTGCCTTCCTCCTTACAGTCACGGGGCAGCTGCAACATCTTCGGTCTCGTAGGGACCCAAGGTTGCTTTTAAAGAACCTGCAAAATGAATACTTAATGAGGAAGGATGAACTCCCTGGGAGTGGTAAAACAAGCAAGAGGAGAGAAGAGCTTGGGTCTTTGAAAATATCTCATTTCTGGTTAAGGAACAAGAGCCTACTACTTTAACATATTTTCTATTTATGTTTCCTAGAGGATGCATTATAATATTCCAAGTAAAATAAGTGTTACTTAAGAAAAAAAAGGAGCCTGAAAAGGAGGAGGGGGAACCAGGGAACATGCACCTTCTCTGCTGAGTGGCAGTCTTTGCTGTTATTCATGTTGATATTCTTCATGGAGATGAGGGTGATGCTATCTTTCTCTCCATTGGCTGTGGAGCAGCTGGAGTAGGAAGGACACATGGGTTATGGATAGGAAAACTGGGAGGGCAATGTGAGGGTCAAGGGACTATGTAGGGGTTGTTGAAAAAGTACCCCTTTGTTTCAGTGGTGGACCCTAATGAAATGAAAGTGTTTTGAAGCCCAAAAGACTGGTATTTAAATCTTTGTATCACTACCTACTGCTTGTGTGGTCTTGACCAAGTTATGACCTCTCTCGAGTCTCAATATTTTAATGTATAAAATGCAGTAATATCTGCCTGAGAGAATTACTCTAACAATTTGAGATAATATTACCAAATATTTACCATAGTGCTTAGGATGTACTAGGTATTCAATAAGTGGTTCCTTAAATAATTATCTTCTTATTTAAGGAGTAGATTAGAATCTGAATTCCTATACTTTTCATGAAGGGGTACTAAGGGCTTAGCCCTGGGACCGAGGAGTTCCAGTCCATCTCCCATCACCGGTCACTTCCCTTCAGGTCCAGGTCCGCCCCTGTCCTGCTTGCCCCCAGGTCTGGCTTCAGGAGAGGCTGTCAGAATTCCATGTGTGGGAATGTGTGTGTAGAAGGCGGGAAGCATTGGTTGTTGGCTCTCTCTTGGAGGGGACACTGAGGTCAGAGGGATGATTCCGACTTACACCTCCGACAGTCTTACCTTTCAGATAGCCCGGAACTCCCAGGCTTCTGGGGATCTGTAAAAATCCAAAGGCACAATTGGGGATCACATGCTGTTACTCAGAAGCCCAACCTGTCCCTCAAAGATCACCAAAGTGGACCCTCCCATTTCAACTACTAATGCTGATGGGCCATTCCAGCCCTCAGTACCAGGCTGGATGTCAGTCCCAGAATCCAGCTCTGAGTGCCTTAGCAGAGAGAGGCAAAGGGGGGCCCTGAGGGTAGGCATGTACCTTCAGGTTCCTTATTCTTCCGACACTTAAACCTGAGACTGACCACGCTGACCAGGATGATCACAACCACCACCAGGATAACAATGAAGCTGATAACACCTGAACAAAGAAAAGGTTAGGGTGAAGGGGAGGCAGAGGAAGGGAGAAAAGGGGGTAACAGGAGTTTAAATTCTTTTCCCAGCTAAGTGCTGTGTGGACAGGCTCCAGAGCAAAGTGAATTCCCCTTCCATGCTGAGAAGAGGAACGAGCTCTCGGCCTGCTGCACTGGTCAGGGTGGGCTCCACAGCCCTTCCCCATCCTCCCATAAGAACATGGAACCAAGCAGAGCCCAGCAGAACTGACCAGAGAGTCGGTGGGGACGCTTTCCCGCCAGAACCTTCTTCATCAGCCAAACCCTCCCAGCACAAATGAGTGCGATCTGAATTTGCGTTTCCAGACTCAGAGCCAAGTCAGTTTAGGGGTGGGATCCCTGCCACACCCCTGTCTCCTCCTTCTCACCAAAAGCAGCCACAGTGAGCACCGTCTCTGACGTAGGGCTGGGCAGGATGGTGGAGTCTCCTCTGGTCCTCAGGCTCATGGTGACTGATTTGGTGGTAACATTTTGAGAAGTGTCTAAGATGGAGTGGTGGTGGGTGCATCAGTGAAGGAACTCGGCCTACCAGAGAAAGCTAGCTCCCTTCCTACTCCTCCAGGTGAAGGACTCGGACACAGCCCAAGCCCTGCAGAAGAGACCTCCTCCCTGCCCCTCTGACTAGGTCCCATGGGGATGGAGATCAGAACTGGGTGATGTAGGATCACATAACTAGACAGCTGGTTGTTTGTATTTCTAGCTCCAAAGGACTCCAGAAAGTTCAGGATGCTTCCCTCATTATGCTCTTCCCACCACCCCTTGGAGTCAAGAAGATAGGGATTTATGCTGCAGATATAGGGAGACAGACTAGGCATGGTAGGATCATCATGTTTTGCCAAGGGTTGACAAGGGAGGAAAGAAGGTCACCAAAAGTTTGTCCCCAGGCACTGACTGATCTAATATGTCAGCCTGCCAGGTAAGACACCCAAGTTTCTGGCCCCCTTAAAAAGTGGAATGGTCACCCATCTCCTCCCTTCTGGAGCTCACTGCAAGCCTGACTGCTGTTCTATTTCCTTGTCTTCACCTCTGTCCTGAATACGTCTGGGAGTTTAAGAAATCCGAGAGCCAAGGGGTAGGATGAGAGAAAGGGTCAGGGTGCTCTTTGTCGGGAGCACAGACAGGACGTCCCTCCACTTCTACTGCCACTGCTGCTGCTGCTGCTGCTCGGGACACCTGTGCTTGTGCCGTGAAGAGTGGGCCAAGGTGGCAGGTATCCACCCCCGCCCAGCTCTTCTCCCGCACTGCTGGGTGAGGACCAACCTGCCCTGAGAAGCGTGCAACCCTTTCCTAACCTTGTCTGCCTTCCTTTGCACTATTTGGTTCTCCTAACCCTCCCTATCTCTCTGTGTGTCTTGATTGATCCTGAGACCATACTCTTTCTGCCTTCATTGTGACCAGGCCCAGGTCCCTGTCTCTACTCCCCACCAAACCTCTCTCATTCCCTTCCAGACCAGGGTGCTGCTGATGTGGATCCTGGCCTTGAGACCCCTCATTGTGGGGCAGGACCTGGGCCCACTGAAGAGGAGAGGAACGAACCCAGCCAGACATGACCCGTTGCATTTTACTGCCAGCCCCACATGCTTACCAAGGGCTGATATGTGTTGCTGTGGCTGGGACGGAGTCAGGCCGGGCAAGCTCTGGAAGTGACCATCCATGGTGCTTGACCTTGGCATCACAGGTGTGGGGACCTGTGAGGCCTTCCCTGGAGCGGCTGTGGATTAGGAAGCATGTGTGAGCCTGCCTGGGCTCCAACCAGCACGCACGCAGGGAAGGCTCTTTAGTCCAAGATCGTTCTTCTCCTTCCTGCTTTCATTCTGGAAGGAGCCATCCTCTCTTAGACCTCTGCGTCTTCACCCGCACAGTGCCCTCGGCCTGGAATACGCCCTACCACCCTTCACCTCCCAGTCTTCATTTGGTTAACTCCTTCTTTGGTCTCAGCCTCCGCTCTCACTCACTCTGGAACGTACTCGCTGGCCCTCTAGTCAGAAGTTGCTGACATTTTTCTGGGCTCCAAGAGCACTCTCTGCCATGCGCATTGAGGCCCTTCTCACCCTGCTTTGTAATTGGCCACATGAGGACTTGTTTCCTTGCCTGCTCCCCCACTGGTCTGCATTCTCCTTTAGAGCAGAAACTGTGCCTGCCTCCTCACTGGGCCCTCCTGGATGGAATTTGTAGTCTGAGTAGCAGAGTACCTGGGGCACTGGCACTAGACAGAGAGCTTGGGCTTCTGGGCTCTGCGGAAGCTGTCTTCTGCAAGGACAGATGCAGAAGGGGAATCGGAGGTGGGGCAGGTTTGATGACATCACGCTTCTAACCCCTATGAGAACTCTTGGGCCACAGGCAAGTCTGAAGGGATGGGCGGGGGGCTGGGTGGAGGCCGGATTGGCCCCTCACAACCACACTCACCGGTGCTGGGAGTCGACTCTGTGGTCAGACTCAGACTGAAGGCTCCTGAAACAGATCTTCTGAGGCTGTTTGTTGCCTCCTTTCCTCTGTCTCCCTCTCTTTTGCCCTATAGTTGGTGTTTTCTAGTCTTTCTTCCTACTCCATCCCTCACCTGCAACAATTCCTCTCTCTCCACTTTCAAGGCAGGTTAGACTGGGTCAAGCTGAAAAAGGTCCCTGGAAGTGCTCAATCTTGAATGCCCTGAGCTCTGGCCCCACCCCTAATCACTTGAGATCTGTGCAAAACAGGGCCTAGAGATCCTCTCACCCTTACCAAGCTCCCAGACCTAAATGCCGGAGGAGGTCCTGTGTGCTGGGTCTTACCCTGAGGGCTAGAGGGCTGCGTTGTGGTGGGCTGGGAGTTGCGGCCTGCAAGAGAAAGCAAAGCACGGACTAGCTTCGTGAGGCTCCTGCCCAGCTCACGGCCCCCAGATAAACAGGCCTCTTGGCTTTCCAAGCCTCCCGTGCTGACAGAGGGCTAACGGATGTGTCTCCAGCTTTGGCGGGCTGGCTTCCTCTGAGACGGCGATTGAATGGCACCATCACCACCACCTCATGCTTCAGCATCCCAGAGTCCTTTCCTGTCTCTTCAGTCCCACGTGGGTTTTATATCAATCTGACACAATGTCAGGGAAGGTCATTTTAAATTAGTGATATGTCTAAAGACAGAGAGCCAGTGACCTGCCAGTCTCAACAAAGACTCCAGGTCCCTGGGCTAATGTCACTGCACCACCAAGCCATCCATTTTCCCTTGCGAGTCTCATCACACCAGTCCTGCCCCAAGGGAAGGGGATGGAAAGATGTGCTGAATAAGATGGAGTTTGGGCCTGGGGTTGGTATCTGAGTTATATCTCTGCCCTCCTCCAGCAGGAGGTAGCGGCCCCCCGGAAGCGAGTCCTGGGATAGATACAGGAGACAGGGAAGCTCTAGAACGAGTGATCAGCTTACTCTCACAGGCAGAGCCTTCTCAGAAATGGTTGTTGTTGGACAAACCCGGGACGAGGTCACTGGGAGGCCCCAGTAAGGCCCACGTTAGATTATTTTGTAAGTACATGTGCAAGCCAGTCAGCCTCTATGCAGATGTGTGTGTGTGCTTGTGTGCCATATATGTGTCCCCTGTGTCCGTGGGACCTCAAAGGTCAGGTTGTGTTTGCTCATTTTCCACAATGAAATCATTCTTAAAACCTGTGAACAATGTGAAAGGAAAACGTGGGGAAGTGGAGCCGCCCAGCCGGGTTCCCGTCCTTCCACTCCGGCCGGGCCGACAGCCGCTGGCCCGGCTCCCCTGTCCCCTCCGCCCCTCATCTTCAGGGGAACGCCGGGCCTGGGTGAACAGAGGCGGCTGGGGGCCAGGGGCCCGCCCAGCCTGGGGCAGCCTGCTGGTCTGTTTATTTTCCTTGGCCACTGCCTCCCTCCATGGGGCTATCACTTGGATGGCGTGGAATTAATTGTTTCCAAGCCCACGCTTTCCCGAACCCTAGGCCACGCGGTGTTTTTCCAGGTCAGCATCTCCGATACTTCATTCCCTCACTTGGTGGTGGGTCAAAAAGGGAGTTAAAACTTACAGGTGCCCCAGGCTAGAGAGAACTCTCCCCAGCTGGGGAATGACCCTTTTAATCCCAGGCGTGTCCTGAGAACACCTGTCAGTTGACGAAGGGTATCTAAGGCACCGTCTAGGCTGCATAGGGTTATAACTTCAGTTCTCAGTGGGAGGGCACGGTGTCTGCCTCCCCACAATGATCTAAAATACAAAACTAGTGTCTTAGAAAGAATTCCAAAGTCTCAGGGGCCAAGTTCCAGTCGCTTGCTGTTTGTCTCCTGCCCCCTCCCGATACTGGAACTTTCTGTTACCAGGAGATTCCTCTGTGACTAGAGGAGGGATTTAGGGAGCATCTGTTTTGACAGGCCAGGCTGCCTCTGACCACTGGGCACTCAGACAACCAGAGCACACTGGCCACGGGGATTATTTTCCTGACTCCTCTCCCTCATCCCCACCTGCTCCATTTCCACCCAGCCTCCCTCCTCCCCTTCCACGACCTCGTCCGGTGTCCCTCAGCAGCACATTTCAGTGCTGTAAAAGTCATGGAGCGTGGAGTCGGGCAGGCCTGCTTTAGAGTCCTGACTCTGTCACTTATTGACCCGAGCTTTAGTTTTCTCCTCATTAAAATACAAGTGATCTTAGCCCTGGACAGTGTGGCTCAGTTGGTTGGAGCATTGTCCTGTAAACCAAAAAAAAAATGTTGCAGGTTCTATCCCTGGTCAGGACATATGCGTAGGCTGTGGGTTTGGTCCTCACTGGGTTCAGTCCCTGGTCAGGGCACATACGGTTGGTTGGGGTGCATACTGAGAGGGGCCGAGGTGCACAGAAGAGGTGACTGATTGATGTTTCTCTTCCCCTCTCTCTAAAGTCAATAAGCATGACCTTGGATGAGTATAAAAAATAATAATAAAGTAACATGCAAGTGATTTTAGTACCTTATACGTGGTTGTGAGAATAAGAAAATGCATATATAAAGTACTTAATGCAGTGTCCGACAGATAGTCCATGCTCAATAAATGCTGGACATTTAAAACTTTGCCCCATTCTGCCAAATCCTCCCAGTCTCAAGCCTGTTCTGCCCCGACTTGTACATCCACAGTCAAGTCCCTCTGTGGGCCTGAATATCCACAAAAGCGTTCCTCAGTCCACCAAAACGAAGGAGGCAGTAGGTGCTCTAAGAGGACAGGATATGCGAAAAGTGAGCATGGCTTCCATCGAGTTCACACCGGGCAGTGCTAGTCCTGGCACCCGACTGGGACAAGGCGGTGTGGAGGGGAGCTGGGAGAAGTCCGAGCTATGGAACTCCCACCTCATGACTCTCATCTTTCAACCTCCTCTGCCATTTCCGAAATTTCTACAACAGCCTGGTCCCCCAGCCCCAGATCAAAAGTGTGACTCCATTCTCTGGGAGGGTGGGGGAGGAGGGGGGGGGTGGCCAGAGTTTGACTTCTAAGCCATGGACTTCTAGAGAAATGTCTGACCTCCCCAGGACGCAGTCTTCTGGTGCTCAGGCCTTCTCACCCACCACCAAGGAAGGGCGCCCTCCCCCCATCCAAGCGCTCTCGCACTGTCCTCTGCCGCTTGGGACACAGGTTCACAACCCTCCTCATGGAGGGTGCTGTGGGGGTGGGGAAGAAATGGCCTAAGGGAAGTTGCTGCCCCGTGAGTCAGAATCTCCTGGATTTCTCTTAGTTCCCAGCAACTGCTTGCTAATTAGAGGACCCCTTCCCAGCGACTTCTCCACTCATCACCAGCAGGGCTCTGTCTGGGAAGTGTTCTCAAGTCATCTCTTCTGAAAATCATCTCAGCTAGGCCCTGGATGAGGATGTTGAGTACATCCTCTTTGGGAAATAATTCTTTGTATCTAACTTGAATCCCTCTTGCTGTGAGCTTTAAGTCAGTATTTGGAATTCCTAGGTTGTTACTTCTCATACTAAAGAAGAGAAAAGATCACCCGTAAAGCCCAAGGTGCAGACAATGTCGTGCTAGTAGAACACCCTGATAGGAGCTTTGGGACCTCGATCTCACACCCACACAGCCATTTTCCCGCATCTCAGGAGGCCAGCCTTTTATGGGGGCCCCAGTTCACCCTGGAAATTTTCCCACAAAAAGCCTTGATCATATGCTGTTTTACCCTTGCCCAGTAATGTCTGCCCCCAAACCCAACCAATCCCTTGCACAAAAAGCTCTGGAATTTCCCTTGGGCACAGCCCTGGATGAAGAGCTGCATGTGCGGTGTGTGTCCTGAAGGAGGGATAGGACCGCCAGCCCTGGGAGGGAACTGCTGAAGGAGAGTGGCTAGTGCCTCTTACCTTGGACCAGGAGGAAGCCGAGGATCACCCAGCACAGCTGCGTCGCTCCGACAGTCCCCATGTCAGCTGGGTCTGTAGTGGGCAGGCAGCTGCTCTGTGGAGGCTCTGTCCATAGTGGAGAAGAGAGAGGGAGTGCTGGGGCGGGGAGGGGCTAGGGGCTGGCTCTGCAGGAGCTTCCTGTCAAAGAATAGAAGGAAACAGATTGGGACTAACTCCAGGGGCCCTGCTCAGCCTGACGGTCCAGATGAGGATGTACGGCTGAAACATCAACGACTGCGACTGCGCCCTGGGGACTCTGAGTGGCCTGAGCTAGTGCCAGTTGTGTTCTCCTCCAGGGCCTGTGCTCAAAGACCAGTGATGGCGGCACACCATCCCACCCCACCCCACCTTCGTCCCCTGCCTTCCCCTCCTAGGGATCCACCAGGTACCTCCACACACTGCCTAGAAGTGTTCCTGGAGTGTACAACCCCATTCTGTTTGACTGTGATTGTGCTCTAAGGCTCAGCCCACCAGCCGCCCAGGCTCTATAGACTCCGAATTCTTCACATTCCTCTCCCTCCTCAGAACTACAGATGCAGATGGGGCTTCCAGTATATCTTATTATTGTTATTCTGTTTTTACTTTAAGTATTTTATTTATTTATTTTTAGAGAAGGGTAGGGAGGAAGAGAGGAACATCAAAGTGTGGTTACCTCTCGCTTGCCCCCTCCTGGGGCCCTGGCCTGCAACCCAGGCATGTGCCCTGACTGGGAATTGAATCAGGGACCCTTTGGTTCACAGGCCAGCCCTCAATCCACTGCGCCACACCAGTCAGGCCTTATTATTGTTATTCTTTAAAAAATATTATTGTGGGTGAGAGTCAAACTTCATTTTATTTTTATTTATTTTTAGAGAGAAGGGAAGGGAGGGAGAGAGGGAGAGGAACATTAATGTGTGTGTGGTTGCCTCTTTCACGCCCCCTACTGGGGACTCAGCTCACAACCCAGGCATGTGCCCTGACTGGGAACCGAATTGGAGACCTTTTGGGGCGCAGGCCAGCACTTAATCCGCTTAACCATGCCAGCCAGGGCTACTATTGTTATTCTTAAGAAAAAACCGAGAGAACCACATTCCAAGCATCCCTCCCTCCAGGCACTCCCCTCACTTTGGGTTCAGGCTCTCCCTGTGCTCCAGCAGTATTCTTATTCTTAGCATTCAGCCATCATACATCCCACAGTACTCTCTCCTGCAGACACATTGTCACTGTTTTTAGTATCCTTAGGACCTGGCACAATGCCTGACGTACAGTGGGTCCTCAGCACATATTTATTAAACTAAACTCAAGAGGTTTACAGCAATGTAGCACACGATCCTCTTTAATGTAGTTACCATTGTTGTGAATTTTCTTCCAGCCTGTGATATAATATGCATATATTCCTTGAACCTTTTGAGAGTAAATTGCCGACAGAATGCCCCGTCACTCTCGAAGTGTTGTAGTATGTATTTCCTACAAACAAGGACACTCTACTATTTAATCAATACAGCCATCAAAATGAGAAAGTTAATATTACTATATTAATACTACCTAATCCTCAGATTTCATTACAGTTTTGACTGTTGTCCTAAGAATGTTCTTTATAGCAGAACAGTCTGGTCTAGCCCTGACCAGTGTGGCTCAGTTGGCTCGGCCTCCTCCTGCAGAGCAAAAGGTTGCTGGTTGGATTCCCGGTCAAGGCACTTGCCTAGGTTGTAGGTTCCGTCCCTGATTGGGGTACAATTGATGTTTCTATCTCGCGTCAATTTCCTCTCCCTGTTTTTCTCCCCTCTAAATAAACAATTAATAAACAAATAATTTTTTTAAAGGTTCCAATCCAGAATCACTCATTGCACATCTCTTTTGTCTCCTTCAATCTGAAGCAATTCTTCAGTTGTTCCTTGACTTTCACAACCTCGACATTTTTAAAGGTTCCAGTCCAGCTGTGTCGTCGAGTTTCCCTCCCTTGGGTTCATTGGGTCACGCGTCTTTCGCAGGAATGTCGAAGAAGCAGCGCTGTGCTCCTCTCTTTGCATCCTGTCAATCAGCTCACGGGTTTTTTTAATCTTTTTTTAAAAATTTAGTTATTTTTCAATAAGCTCACAGTTTTTGATCTGCTCCACGGATGGTCACTTGATCTCTTGTTTCGGGTGGTGTCTGCCACTGTCTTAGTTTCCTGAGACCATGTACCAATGACCATAAATTGGGGACTTAAAACAATGGAAATGTACTCTCTCCCAGTTCTGGAGGCCAGAAGTCAAAATCAAGATATTGACAGAGCCACACCCTGTCTGAAGATGCGAGGGAAGAATCCATTCCTGGCCTCTCTCGGCTTCTGGTGGCTGTTGGCCATTCCTTGGCTCGTAGCTGCATCACTTTGGTCTCTGTTTCATCAATTTCTCTTTTGTGTTTCTTTCCAAGGACCCTTGTCCTTGAATCTAGTGCCCTTCTAGACAATCCAGGGTGACCTTCTCATCCCAAGATCCTTAACTTATTACATTTGCAAAGGCTCTTTTTCCAAGTAAGGAAACATTCACAGGTTCTCAGGATTAAGATACAGACATATCTTTTTGGAAACTACCATTCAGCCGCTATAGCCAGTTTTCTCCACTTCAAAGTTAATTCTTTTCTCTTTGTAATTAATAAGTATTTTGTGGGGAGATACTTTGAAACTATGTGAATATTACATGTTACAATCATTTATTATTTTGATTCTCAAATTGTTCCAGTTTTGGTCCCTGGGAGCCCCTTCAGGCTGACTTCTGTGTCCTCTCAACCTGTCTCCATCATTCTTTGAACACTTCCTTGCTTTCTGGCATAACAAGGTGTGCACTTCATCTCCTGTTTTACCAGCCCCAGCCCTGCAATCAGCTCTTTCTCCAAGGAGCCCTACTTTCTTTTAATGGAAATGATATTTAGAAACTGAGACATCACACCTGCCTGCACATCAAAGAGTTGCCAGTTCCATCCTCCATCAGGACACATGCCTGGGCCGCAGCCCAGGTGCCCAGTAGGGGGCGCCCGAAAGGCAACCATACTTTGATGTTTTTCTCTCTTTCTCACTCCTTTCCCCTTTCTAAAAATAAATGAATAAAATCTTTAAAAAAGAAACTGAGACATCATACATACAGAGAACAAACTGATGGTTGCCAGATAGGAGGGGAGGGGAGGGGGGCTAGGTGAAAAAGGTAAAGTGATTAAGAAGTACAAGTGTGCAGTTACAGAACAGTCATGAGGATGTAAAGTACAGCATAGGAAATATAGTCAGTAATATTGTAATAACTATGCATAGTGCCAGGTGGGCACTAGATTTATTGGGAGGGATCACTTTGTAAATTATATAAATGACAACCACTATGCTATACACCTGAAACTAATATCAAATAACATTGACTGTCAACTGTAATTGAAAGAAATAAAACACCTGAGATCTAGGTGGTAGGTGTGCCCATTGCTATGAGGGGGTAACTCCTCCAAGGCCCTTCTCTGACACTCCGCTCCCAGTATCCTCATTTGATCACTCCCTTTGTAACCTAGCTCCCACCTCCACCACTACCTGTCTCACGGACGCCTCCACACTCCACTCAGGCTCTGACCCTCCACCCTGGGCCATTCCGCTGCTTTTCTTACTCTGAGTAGTGGGCTCAGAACCCCTGCTCCGGGCCACTGTGACTTCCCCGACCCCCACCCCCATTACTTACCTTGCTCTGCCTGACCTTGAGGACTGAATTTTCCCAGAAGGGAGAGGAAGAGGAAGGAGAAACCTGTCCTTATTTTCAAATTATATGCATTTTCTGCTGGCTCACAGTTTTCATAGTGATTATTTTTAATGGCAACTTATGTAATATTCTGTGGTCTATTTAATCATCTTTCTGTTTTTGAACATTTAAGCTGATTCCACTTATCCCTTTTTATTTATTTTATTTTTTATTATTTTTACATTTAATTTTTGAAAGGTTTTATTTATTTATCTTTAGAGGGGAAGGGAAGGAGAGAGGGAGAGAAATACCATCAATGTATGGTTGCCTCTCATGCGTCCCCTGCTGGGAACTGGCCTGCAACTCAGGCATGTGCCCTGACTGGGAATCGAACCACAATCCTTTGTTTCCCAGGCCTGCACTCAGTCCACTGAGCTACACCAGCCAGGTCCCATTTATCCCTTTTATGACTGGTTCTGGCATGAACAGCTACAGTACTATCATACTGCTTTTTCAGTCATTCTTGGAATGGTTTTTTTTTTTAAGATTTTATTTATTTATTTATTTATTTATTTATTTATTTATTTATTTATTTATTTATAGAGAGAGGGGAAGGAAGAAGAAAGGGAGAAAACTATCGATGTGAGAGAGAAGCATCCACTGGTCACCTCCCATACACGCCCCAACCAGGACTGAACCCACAGCCCAGGCAGGAGCCCCAATAGGGAACTGAATGGGTGCTTGAGTTTTTGGTGAGAACTGGCTTTTGCTTCACAGGATGACCCCCAACTAACTGAGCCACACCAGTCAGGGATCATGGTGTGTGTGTGTGTGTGTGTGTGTGTGTGTGTGTGTGTAACAGCTTTATTGAGGTATCATTCACATACTGCTTGCTATAGGCTGAAAGTTTGTGTCTCCTGAAAATTCATATATCAAAATCCTAACTCCAGTGGTGATGGTATTAGGCCATGGGACCTTTGTGAGGCAATTAGGTTGCAAGGACAGAGCCCTTATGATTGAGATGACTGTCCTTATAAAAGAGGCCCGGAGAGCTAGCGTGCCATTCTGCCACGTGAGGATGCAGCAAGAAGGCACTATCTGTGAACCAGGAAGTAAGCTCTCGTCAAGAGACCAGATCTGTTTGCGGCTTGATCTTGGATTCTCCAGCCTTCAGAACCGTGAGGGAAAAATTTCTGTTGTTTATAAACCACCCAGTTTGTGGTATTTTGGTATAGCAGCCTGAGCAGACTAAGACACATAGTATGCAATGTATCGATTAAAAGTGTACAATTCAGTGGCTTGTAGTATATTCAGACTTGTATAACCATTTCCACAAAAACAATTTTAGAACATTTTTATTACCCCACAAAGATATCCCACTCCCCTTACAGATCTATAGCTTATAATAAGAAGGCTGGAAGTAGGGTGTGGCTGAAAAGGGCAGCCCTGGCTCTTGGCTTACTCCAGTGACCCAGAGCTCAAGATGAGCTCTGGAAGTCAGCCGGCTCTCAATGGCTCTCTGTCATGGCAGCCTATAGGGAACAATCCGTGTGGCAGTGGCAAATGTAGCCCAGCTCCTGACTCAGAAAGCTGGCAGGAGCGAGGAGGCACACAGGAGGCACCAGGTCCACAGATCGGTTTTCCTGTGGGGAACCAGGCCTGCATCATACCCAGGCTGCTCTGAGGCTTGCTTTTGCTAAAACTCTGTCACCCTGAATTGAGGCAGAAAATGTTTACTGCATATCTTTAAAGTAACTTCCTAAAGTCTGTTAAACCTCCCAAGGATGGAGTATAACCAGTTCAACCACTTTTCCTCTTGCATGAGCAACATCCTTTCCTTTGTTATCTGTAAAAGATAGTCACTTAAAGTGAACCTGTGCATAGTAAATGAGGACCATCCCTGATGTAATGTGCCCAGAAAAGCAATTAAAGCCTGTCCAGGCAAGGGTCGGGACCTTCTCTCACTCAGAGTGGCCATGTCGTCCCTTTTTCTCCGCAGGATTTCTGCAGTCCATGTGAATTTGTTTGTCGCATCCACAACACACAGACTCCACTGGTCAGAGTCCACATCAACAACCTCTCATTGGCCTGCTCAGGATGTTCCTGCAAGTCCTTCTCCAGCTTCCTTTGCAGAAACCTAACCCTGGCTGCCTTCAGTGGGGACAGAATGAGGGAAGAAGGACTGCTCTTTGTCTTACTTAGGCCAAAGGGCCACTTCCACCTCCCATGGGGAGCTGGAAAACAGATGTGCCCCCATTGTATAGAACTGAGTCAGGGAACCCCAGCCCAGAGGGGGAATGGTGGGGAGGACCCCAGAGTCCTTGCCTCTTTGATTCCAGGGCTCCCACCTTGAAAGTCGTGACTTTTCTTCTGTAAAACAAGAACAGATTCTTAATCATTTCAGCCATCTGAAAACATCTAAGAGGCTCCCTGAGAGAAAAAGCCAAAAAGAAACAGAGGGAGCAAGTCAGTAAACACTTGTCGTGGCTCAGAAGTGCCCCCCACAGGTGAAGGGTGCTCCTTGCCAGCCTCCAGTACTGAGGACAGGACAAGGGTGGGAGGTTAGTCCAGATTCTGCTTCTATTCAGCAAGCTCTTATCCAGCACCTACATGCAGTACCAGTTACTGTGATGGACTCCGGGACCCAGACAGGAACGCCCTGATGGGGTTCACAGGCTGGGAAGAAAAGTGAGCCCCTACACACCTGTACCGTAAGACAAATGTCAGGAGCAAGTTAAGAAACATGCTGCTACAGGAAAAGAGAAAACTACTTCAGTATACATCCTGGAGGAGGTGCTGCTTGAACTGAGCCGTTAAAGGGGGTTAGTGTTTGAATGGTGGGACTTGGGGAAGGAGATGAGACTGGAGCATGGAGATGGGAAAGAGAGAGAAGGCTGGGACAGACTGACAGAATAATCTGGTCCCTGAAGTGCCACCCCTTACTCTTTCTGAAGCCTTTTAGGAGATAATCCAGGATTGATGAGGGAAGGGAAGGAAAAGTCAGTCATCAGAAGGATCAGAAATTGGGTTTTGGACCCGAAGGCAAGAGCCCCCGTGGTGGGGCCTGTGGGAGCAATGGGACACGTACGCTGAGGAGGCAGGGGCAGGGGGCAGTGGCTGGAGCTCTGGACTGTGGCAGGATCCAGACTCCCTCTGGCTGATGATGTCTGAGGGTTCTGAGGTGAGAGGCGGAGAATGACTGCAGCTCCTGATTGCACTGGGAGTGGGGGGCGGGGGCGGTGAGCCTCCTAGTTGGTTTCAAGGCCAGCCAGCTGCTGCTGTCACTCGCTTTGTAGGTGAAGTCAGCAGCCCAGTGACCTAGGCTTAAGTGAGTTTGAAGGTCTGAGTGGGGCTCCTGAATGTCAGGGTGTGAGCAGCTTGGCTGAGAGCCCGGGAATCAGAGTCAAGCCACTGGGGGAGGGGAGTTGCTGGCAATCTCTTGGTCTCCACGCTGGAATGAGGGGAGGTGATGCATGCACAAGGGACGGGATGAGGGATGGCTGGTCCCATGGGGTTAACTGGGACGAAATATTACCCCTTGTAAAGTGTCTCCAGAGAGAGGAGAGCCTCGTGAGCACCTTTTGTGACTTAGACACATTAAATCACACACATTTGCAAATGAAATCGCTGCATTCAGACAAGTGCAGAGACGTACAAAATTTATATTCATAAAAACCAAAGAAGAAAAAAGAATGCCTCGCATGGGAATGATAAACATCAAATTCAACAAGTGGTTATCCCTGGGGTGAGAAGGAAGGGAGGGATCAGGGAGTGGGGTTCAATTTTATTTGTAACATTTCGGTTCTTAGAAAAATTTCTTTTCTCACCCTTGCTGGTGTAGCTCCGGAGATCAAGTGCTCACCTGCAGGCCAAAGCTCGGCAGTTTGGAACCGGTCGGGGCACACGCCTGCCTTGCAGGCTAGACCCCCAGTTGGGGGCGTGTGAGAGGCAATCAACTGATGTTTCGTTCCCTCTCTTTCTCCTTCCCAGGTCTCTAAAAATATATAAATAAAATATTAAAATTTTTATTGTATACTTTCTCTTATATCCATTTATCTCCCTTAAATCCTCTTCCATCTCCACCCACCCTCCTGTCCCCCAAAAGTTTTGAAATAAATGTGACAAACTAGTGAGAGGGGCAGAGCTGGTGGTTGGGCCAGACAGATTTACTATATTATAGTCTATGATTTTCTGGTGTATTTGAGATATTGCTGTAAAAGAACTCAAAGGGTAGCACTTCAGGAAATCAGTTGGGTGGGGAATCAGTATGTCCTGGCGGGTGGTGGGGCGGGGTAGGAACAGTGAATGGCCAAACGTCTGGGCTCGGGTGGAGGAGGGATGGGCAGGCAGATCCAGGCTCCTGAAGCTGGTGAGGGGCCATGAAAGGAGGTGCCGAGGAGTAAGATCAAGGTATTGTCAGAGCTAAAGGCTGATGTCAGTATTGTCCCTACGTTTAAGGAAGTGAAAGCGCGGGAGAGCACTGAGGGTGTGTGTGCAGAGGGTGTGTGCTTCGCGAGACCTCTGGGACGTGGCAGCTCCGGGCAGGGGCCGAGCTGGGGGGGCAGGCTCTCCTCTGCCCAGCTGGCCACCGGTCTTGCGGGAATCTTGCTCTGGGGAACCATGCTCCAGGTAGACTCTCCCCTCACCCCTTCCTGCAAGGCTGGCCCGACTCCCTGAAGGGGGCCCCTTGCCTTTCACCGGCCTGTGCTTCCTTTTCCCCCTGCACGTCCGGGGGGGCCGCTTACCCACCCCAGCCTGGGAGCTGCGGCCTGAGACCCAGAGAACCTCAGACTTTCAAGCAGGGTGGGGGTGGGATATTGGGCTTTCCACATTCAAAGGGATACGTGTTGGGGGATGGGATGGGGTGGACAGTGTGACTGAGCCTAAAGGGAGTGGGTTGTTCTGGACAGCCTTTTCTAGATCCCAAATGCCTACCCGTCAGAAGGGCCAGGCTGAGGGCTCAAAGTTAAGGGAGGGGCTCCACCTCACGCACCTACTTGTGATGGTCCAACTGGGGACCGTGAGGCTAGGTAGGAGAAAGGTTTTGAGACTGTGATGACCTTGCCGGCTCTGGGGTTTATTGTTTGGAGGTTTGCTATCTTCACGGCAACCCCACAACCCCACACTTAGCAGGGTGGAGATAGGCAGAGGCAGGGGTCAGGATTTCCGGCTTTAGGCAAAACAACTCTGGGGCCCTGAAAGAGGTAGATAGAGGCTGGCATGGCATCTCCTCAATCTGTCTTGGGCAGAGCCAGGAACCCACACTGGGTATCCCCTCCCCTCTAAGTCTAGAATCTGACCCTGAGCCCTGAGAGAGTGTTATGAGAGCTCTCCCTTGACAAGTTCCTGCGGTTCCTGTTTTCTCTTCCTCTTTCCCTTCCCCCAGGTCACTTCTTCCCTACCCCCCCCCCTTCTATGTGCATAGCGGGAACCTAAGATGCTGGACACAGTGACTCCCTTTTCCCAGGACTTTAAGAAGCATTGTTCACTGCCCACTGCCCAGGACGTAGGATAGCAGCCCATAGTGTGCTGAGACTCCTGACCCAGGACACAGGGTCTATTTAGGCATTTTGATGGAGACCTGGGAAGGGAGGGCCATGGGAGGGGACCTGCCGGACCAAACTTTGTAACGAAGCCCCTCTCTTTGTCCCTTTCCAAGCAACTTCATCTCCCTCTTTCTCTTTCCTCGGTCTCTGTGTATCTGTTTTCATTGCTTTCTGTTTATCTCTTCTTTCCCTGTTTCTTTTTGTGTCTTTCTTTCTCCCCATTTCCCCTCTGTCTGTCTTTTTTCTTTTACTCTTCTGCTGCTGTGTTTGTATTTACCTCCATGTTTCTCTGTTTCTCTCTTCTGTCTCTTTCTCTCCATGTCTTTACTCTTTCTCTGCTTCTGTTCTCACTCTGCCCCTGAGGCTCTGTCTCTCCCTTTCAGCTCCCTTTGGGGGTCTGTCTCTCCCTACTTTGGTCTTGTTCTGTGTGTACTTGCCCATGTTACCATCTCTCTCTGCCACTCCCCTCCTAGGCTGACCCCCCTTCCTGGCCTCCTCCATTTGTGAACGGCTCCGCAGGGCAGGAGCCCCGGAGGCAGCTCCCAGAGGTGCAGAGCGGGGCCTGGGCAGCACCTGCAGAGGACGGACTGCCTCTGCTCACCGTCATCACTGCTATGTTTGTCCTGCTGGCAGTCTGTATCGTGGTGGCAGTCCGCTTTGGGCCAAGTCTACACCAGGGCCATGCCAATCTCCCCACAGAGCCACCAACCCCAAAGCCAGAGGATGGCATCTATCTCACCCACTGGCGAGTGCTGGGCCCTGAGGACAGACATGAAGACACCCAGGAGGGCCCTCCTGTCTCCAACTCCTGCCTTGTGCCAGGCGGACCTAGGCTCAGCATTGATGAAGTCACATATCTGTAGGAGGAAGACTTTGGAAAGTTGGTGTGACCTGATTCAGAACAAGAAACTGGACAGAGAACTAGGGTAAAGGCAAACTGGGACCTGGGCGTCAGAGCTTCGGAAGTGCGCACACAGACTAAGATGGAGCTGCCCTCTCTGCAGAGTGCAGAGAAAGCCTGTTGTGCACAGGAGAAATAAAAGAAGCTTGAGAGCCCAGCCCAGACACATGCTGCTATGACCAGTCCCAGTGCCCGAGGCTGCCCTTACAAAGCTTCTCTCTGTTCTTCAGGGACCACCAGCCCCTGAGCCTCCTTCTCTGGGTTCCCACCCCTCCTCCCACCCCTAATCTCTCTCCTTTGGGTGTCAAGGTAAGTCCATCTTGGAAGATTCCACTACCCAGCCTACCTTTGTGCAGGGATGTCACAGGTCCTGTCACGGCCTGCTGCCCCAGTCCCCGGGTACCTGTGAGGGCCAGTCAAGGCGTGCCAAGGCAAAGAACCCAGGGCTCCGCCTTCTCTGGGACTCAGGAAAGGAAGAAAAATCTGTTGCCTTTCACTGATCAGGGGATATCCTTTTGGCTGCCAGGGCCCAGGACTTGCTAACAATTTTTAAGGCCCTTGCAGCCCCCCAGGCACCAATTATAGCTCCCCAAATTGGTTTTGAAGGGCCCCCACTCTCTTGGGGCAAGACTCTGCCTTGCCTTCCCATGATGCAATGGGGGAAATTTGGGAGCTCTCATTACCTTCCACTCTCTGGGTGCATGGGACTGTTGGAACCAGCCTAGTATTTCCCCGGGGACATTTCCCAAATCCTGGTGGGGAAATAGAAAAAAAGGGGGGGGAACTTTGTGGCAGATCCTGGCTGGCAGGATCCGTGTATGTTGTGGCTACTCGAGAACAAATACACATGGACAACAGAAGTCCTGTAGAGAAAAAGGGACACCTCTCAGAGAGACGGTGAGAGGGCCAGAGAGCCCTGTCCCTGCCTGGACAGGCTTTTATTGCTTCTCTGGGTGCATTACATGGAGGGCAGTCCTCATTTATATGCACAGGTTCACTGTAGCGGATTACCTTTTACAGATAACAAAGGAAAGAATGTTGCTAATTACTTCAAAGAGGAGGATGTTGCAGACCAAGGGGAAAATTGTTGATCCGGTCACACTTCATACTTGGGAGGTTTAGCTTGGATTTTAGGAAGTTGCAGTAAGCCCTTGCTGCCTCAGTTCAGGGTGAGGGAGTTTTAGCAAAAGCAAGTCTTATAGCAGTCTGGGTACAATGCAGGCCTGATTCCCCACAGGAAAACCTTTCTGTGGACGTGGTCCTGTGTGCCACATGCACCCCACTGGTTCGCCACGTGAGGGCTGAGCTACATTTCCATGGCACGTGAAATGGTTCCCCACAAAACTTCATGGAGCTTGTCTGGGGGGAAGAAAGGAGTGGGGAGAAGACCTACAGAAGGAAGGACATGGAGGTTCGGAAGGGGCTGGAGGCCAGGAAGGCAGAGCTGAGCCTCCCAGTGGCTTCCTGGAAAGGTACCTCTTTCCCTGACACCTCTGAGCTTCATTTACGTGCAGTTAAGAACATGCAGACAGACATTGTGGAGCGACCTCTGCGTGCTTTACCCTGGGGAATAACTGAGGGCAACAAGTCAACCTGGGGATTGCCCTCGGTGAGGGACTGTGCCCTCCCAGCACAGTCAGGGAGGCCGGGAAATAACAGAAGGCAAAGAGGAACAGAGATGGGGATTATAATGTGTGCAGAGGACTGGCTTGCCACCTCTGAGCTGACGAGAGGCAGCTCTAAGGTTAATAGCTGCCCTTCCTGAAGGCCAGCTACGTGTTGGGCACTGGCTTCCTCCATGGGCCTGCTCCATGGGCCAGATGTTGTACCGTTCACTCCTCATAATAGCTTTGGGAAGAGGAGCCACCGTTACCCCCATTTTACGGTTGGGGATATTAAGACACCCAGGCGGATACGTGTACTAAGTGGTAGAGAAGGATTCAAACCTGAGGCCATCAGACTCCACAGCCTGAGCACCATGTTGGGGGCCAGATGGGCAGGGAAAGTACGTTGGAGAGGCCCTTGATCCTGGTCTGGTTTCTAGCTATAGGAGTGACTGGTGTGATGTTGGAGGGTCCTCAGGTCTTGGAGGCAGAATGGCTGGGACAGCTGGGGAGAGGAAGGGACTGCTTCCCCTTCACCCTTTTGGCTCTGTCTAGGGGCAGTTGGTTCCTTCTGGCCAGTGTGTGTCTGTGTGTGGAGCCTTTATGTCATGCTGTACTCAGATGTGCAAATTGAACATTTGTGTCAAAAACAAAGGTGGGAGGGAAGGAAGGAACAAGTGCTGGCTAGAACGAGTGGAACTGGTGGAAATGGACCGCCTCCCCTCCCAGATGGGGGCAATTTTGCCACCGCAGTGTCACTGCCGTGGCTCAGTTCTAACAGCAATGGCATCCTATACCATAAGGCATGGCAGGTGGCTGGCTGTGTTGTCCCCCAGAGTACATCCCACCTGCTCACACAAACCCTCTTCCCCCCATCCCTTTGCGGGCTCCTCAGTGCCCCCTGCTTCTCTGAGCAACCCCTTACCCACGCACAGCCGTGTGCCCCTTATGGCACCGGTACGCTCCCTCCAGCAGCCCCCGGTCCCTCCCTGCCCGCCCCACGTCTCTCACTGGAGACAAGGGCACTGAAAGGGCAGGTGGAAGGGAGGGCGATGCCCAAGTCTCTGCCCTCAGCCTGCCTGCCCACCCCCCCACGGCCTGTACTAGGATGAGGAGGGATGTGAAGAAGCCTGTCTGTGCAGGCCAGTCTGGACACTGCAGATAATAAATGCCGGTAGCTTGCATCGGTCAGAGTTCAGCCGGAGAAAGGTGGCACACTCAAATGTGTAATGTGAGGAGTGTTTAAAAGGGGGGGCTGTCTAGAAAAGGCAGGAATAAGGGAACCAAGGTGACAGTGAGCACGACAGGACGCCCCTCAGTGGGAGCCACACCTCTGCTAGGTCTGAAGGGCCAGGGGGAGGAAGCAGTTCATGGGACCTAGAGAGACCCAGGCAGGTCCCTGGGCAGGTTTGGTCAAGACGTGCAGACAATTCACAGTGACCTTGACACCACAGGCAGGGTGCCGGGGGAATAAATACTTCAACCTCATTCTCCTCCGTTCCTCTGTTCTCCCACTGGGGTTCCCCATTGACCAAGCATAGCCAGACACCAGGGGACAAGGGAGACTCCATCCCAGGGAGGAGGAGGCAGACAAGCGTGGAGAGAGTGGATCCGGAGGGTCCAATGGAAGACAGCCGGCACAGTCCTTAAGTGTACCAGGAAATCAGAGTTTACGAGAAACTTCCATATAGTCACAGTCCTCACAACAACCCTGTGAGGTAGGCAGGGCAGCGATTGTGATCCCATTTCATAGATGAAGGCACTGAGGCTCATCTTGCCCAAGGTCCTAGGACTCATCTTGAGATGTCAGGTCCCTGTACCTTCTCTGAGAGCCCCTGTGGGAGGAAATGGCTTTGCTGAGCATCTCACTCCTAAAGAAAGGCCCCAATCCAGAGAGTCTTGGGAATTTCTGGGGGCTCAGACAAGCTGACCCTGGGCCTCAGTAGACATCTGTGCGGAGTGGGAGAGGCTGATCCATGCTACTGATGAGGAGCTCGGGCTCTTGGTGCAGCGTGGAAGAGTCAGGCATCACCGAGGTTCTTGCACTATCCACAGCAACCTCCTCCTTTTCCTCCTGCCTCAGGTGCCTGAGAATCTCCTGTGACAGGGAGAAGTTGCTTTCCTCCGTGGATTCTGGAATGCAGGTGGGGAGTGGAGTGAGAACCTCACACATTCCCACTCCAACTTACCCGGAGGACTTGCTGGGCAGATCCTTCAACCCTCCCTTCTCTCCTCCTTCCTCCTCTCCCTCCCCATCCAACTCATGGAGGTTAGTGTTTCATGAATTCCTAGAGATAGAAGTGGTTTTAGAGTAGAATTCTACCCTCTCGCTTTTAAAGATAATGCTTAGCGAAGGGCAGAGACCTGCCCAAGGTCATACAGCAAAGGAGTGTCAGATCTGAAGTTGCAACAATTCTCAGTCTCTTAGTTCCTGGCCTGGGCTCTTTTGCTTCCTCTGCTTCCCTAGATGAGCTGCGGAGCCCCTAGAGCCTACCTTTTCATGTTCCATCCAAGACCCATAGTCAAAGACCTTAGAGCAACCAAGCATCTCAACCTGGGGAGGTGGACCTCTCTAGGGCAGGAAGGGGCAGGGCTTGACTGCCTGACCACCTGGGAAGTCCCAGGGCATGATGCCGTCATTATCTCCTTCTGACCCCTGACTCCTCCTGCCCTCCAGACTACCGTCAGTCCCTTACCCTGGTAGACAATGAGTCGACAGTTTTTCTGACACTCGGGGGCATCTGCCAGGATGTCTTCAAGCGTCCGGCAGAAGAGTTTGGCCTGCTCAAGCCGATCCTCCCGGCTAAAGCCAGCTTGGGTATGCTGGGACATGGCAAACAGGGTCTGCAAGGGGGTGGCATACTCCAGAACACAGGCGCCCACCTGGAGGAGGTGAGGGGAGGACCAGACTAAACCAGGGCAGGCAGACTCTGGACCCCAGTGCCCCCGCAGGGACCCCGCCCCCTCAGTCTGTAGAGATGGAGTCTTGGGAGGCGCCGCCCTGCTGGGATGATGCTGTCCAGTTGGACTTCGCTTCTGACACCCCGCTCCAAAACTCAGGGCCCGGACTGAGCCACATTTATCCCTCACAGATCCTCTTCCTAAGATCCCAGGGCAAGGCCCCCTGAGCTGGACTGTCAACTGCTCTAGCTTGAAATCTAGTCCGGGGTCCAGGCCCTAGGGTTCAACCCTGCTCTGGGTGTCCCCACCCCTCCAAGTGAAATCCATCGGATGTTCTCACAGCTTTCATCTAGGGCAGCGTTATGGTCAAAAACATGGTATACTCCGGTTAAATTGTCCACTTCCTCCCTGGTTCTCTGAGCATTGCTTTCATCAGTGGTAGAGTGGAGGTCACAATAGTCCCTACCCGACAGAATGATGGTGAGGATTCGTGGCGTGGATGGATGCAGCGTCTAGGCTAGCATGGGGCGTAAGTGCTCAGTAAATGCTACTCATCCTCATTCAGTGCTGAATCTTGATCAGCCCTGGGACTCACTGGGTAAGCTGAGGCTCAGAGAAGGGCCGTACATTTTTATCAGTGGTTGGCTAGAGCCCAGAGTTCTGGGGGTCTGGGTCTCAGCCATTTCAGCAGGACCCACCTTCCTGCACACTCACCTGTCTCCCGTTCTCCAGAAGCTCATAGATGCTGTTGCTGTAAACCCGGCTCTTGATGCCGGCTCTGTCAGCTTTCTGCTGGGGCAGCTCATGCAGGAAGCGAATGTTGGGGTCAACCATACTCAGGTTGTCAGGCACCCCACAGTCCAATGGGAAGAGAATGTACAGCCGGTGGCTTGCTCTGCCCTGTAGCATGTTGTTGTGGCGCTGATTGTAACTGCGGATCCGGGCCGGAAGCTCTAGAGGCCCAAGAAGACATTCTCACAAACCCTGTCTCCCACTTGGTCTCCTCCATGTGTGTGTTCAAGAGAAACGAGAGTCCGGTCCCCTCATACTGCCTCAGAGGCCAGGAGGGGCAGCGCATCCAAGAACCCTCCCCTCCACCTACTCCTACCACTGCTTTCTCCCCTTCTTTGTCCTTTGTCCAGATTTCTGTCAGCCCCACTCCTTCCCACCACAGCTTCCAGGGCTCTGAGAGGCAGGCAGAGCCCTGCAAAGTGACATTTGCCCGCACCCCCAGGTGCACAGAGTCAGACCTCCAGCAGGAGCCATTTCCTAGCAAAAGCCCAGGTGTTCAGGGAAGGCAGCAACAAGATGAGGGAGAACCCAGGCCTGGCTGGCAAGTCAGAAGAGTGAGACGCCACACGGAGACTCACAGCACAGTGGTCAGGGGTCCACGCTCTGCCCTCAGCGTCTCCTCTCAGATCCTGTCTCCTCTCACTAAGCTGTGCGACTTCGGACAAGTCACTTTTTCTCTCGGAACCAAAGTTTTCTTATCTCTTAAGCAAGAATAATAATTATCCCCTTCGTCATAGGGGTGAATGAAAAGAGAAAATGCATGTGAAGGGCACACAGCGTGCAGTAATAGGTATTGAAAGAATTCATGGGTGACCTTGAACAAGTCACTTGATATTCACCTGATAGTCACAGACACAGTAACAACATTGTTCATGCTTATAGGATTGCTTTGGGAATCAAGTGATTTGTTAGACATGAAAATACTTTGCAAAATATACCAACTTCTGGAAACTATGTGTCTTAACGTGTGTGTCTCGTAGATCTAGAAATGAGGACATAGAGGGTGGCCCACCTGGCAGAATCAGCCGCAGGTACCCGATATAAAATGACCACGCCAGCCCATGGGCCACGTTGAGTTTCCTTTGTTCACAGACTGCAGAGATCTCAGCTGGGGCCAGGCACTGTGGACAGCAGGGTGGGGTCAGGGGGCCTCCATGGAAGACAACTGGAGTTCTCCTCCTCCAAGAGAATTTCCCCACCTACTGCTGATTTTCTCTCTTCTCTGCCATTGCTGACCCCGCCGTTCCAGGACATTATAGGTGTCACTCCAAGAACCAACCTCTAAACTAGTCCCACTCCCTGTACTGAGCTCAGAGCAAGTCACACTTCCTGCCACAGCCTCCACTTGGTCATGCCCCCCACGTCCCTCTGTGTCACACCTGGAGGTCCAGGATTCTGCTCACTGCCACTGAGAGGCCCAGGAGCGCAAGCATCCAAGTGAAGGACAGGCCAGCTGGGTTCGGCAGGGAGGCATTGAAATAGCAGGACAGCAGCAGCACGGCCCCACAGCGGATGGGGCAGCCCAGGCAGGCCCGCACAGCCTTCCAGTAGCTGCCCTGGTACCTGCAGGTGAGAGCCAAACCCCAGACTCCAACTCAGCTAGAGACATCCTAGGAGGGGCAGGGCTGGGGGTCAGGGGAGTGAGACATGCTGAGTGAGTGCCCAATCACCGCAGGCACCGCAGGGACTCACCGGGAGTGGATGTGGCATAGCTCCTCGGCCAGACGGCAGACTCTCTCGAGCAACAGTCCCAGCTGCAGGGAGGCCAGGTGGAGCGTCAGCTGCTGAAGAATGTGTCCTGGCTCCCCACCTAAGTAGCAAAGGGCTGCCAGGCAAACACTCAGCAAAACAAAGGCTGCTTTCTTGTCCCTTTTACCCCTGTGCCGAGGGATGGATGGATGCAAGCTGGAGGAGGCCATCTGTGGGTACCAAGGAATCCATGGCTATACTCCTGTCCCTCTCCTTTCATTCCAAGACTGACGTCCTGACTGGGCACCTCCCCATAACTCTTCCTTTTTCTGATGCCCGGCTATAACCAGGGGCTGCTCTTGGAGACCCCCGTGGAAGACAGGCTGGGGATATAGCATCCCAGAGCTCCAGTCCAGGAGAGATTGGTTGAAAACAGAACAGGTGGAGAAGTGGGTCCACACATACACCCCCCACCCAACCCCAGGCCCAGACCTGTGAGGTGCCATCCACTTAGGGACCCTTTGGTGACCTGGGCTTCCCTCTCCCCAAAATCCACCCAGGAAGGCTCTTAGCAAAACCTCAGTTGAGGGAGTGGGGGCAGGGCAGCCAGAAGGGGTCTCCAGGGGTCTCAGCCTTGGAGCTTTGGCTGAGCTGCTCCTGATCCTACCTTCTACCTCCAGATGGAAGGTTGTTTCTGGCAGTCAACAGGGAGAGAAGTCTCGATGCGATGGCTCGCAGTGACCAAGGGCAGCCTCTCCAGAGGTAGCCTGAAAATGGAAAGTTAAAAACAAGTTGAAGCTTTCTCTACGACACTCCAGCCCTGGCATCTCAGACCACAGCTCTGAGTGCACTAGGGAGGAGGGTATTTCCTGGTCTCTAAGGAGGGAGGAAGAGCGCTCCTCCCAAGGCCCTGATGAGTCATGCCGGAGTCTTGGGGGTGTGGTTGGCAAAGCTGGTGCAGGCCCCCACTCTACTGCAGTTTGCTATCCTAAAGCGAAGTTTCATAAATTCCCTCACACGTTCCTGAACCGCAACCTAACACCAGCTCCCCCCTAAGCTACGCACAATTAAACGCATTCTACCATTCCCCACACAGTGTTCTGCACACCCAGCCTAAGGTACCACATGCTACACCGTGCTGCCTGGCCTGGTTATTTTTATTCTGATTTCCAGATGAGATTCTCTTTTTCTGAAGACTGTGATATCAGAAGGGAGGTGGGGACAATGAACGATTATTTCCTGCTACAGCAGCCTTTTGAGTAAACAGCTTGGTAGGAGCAGAAAGCCAGCAGAGAAGTGTAGGATTTGAGTTCTTCACAGGAAGTGGTCACGCCTGTGACTTCTCTGAGAGAATCTGGTGGTTCCAGCCAAAAAGGAAGTTGCATGGGTGATAACAATAAACTATACCAAGTGTTGTATGTATTATTTTACTTAATCAACTCAGCTACCCTGTCAGATAGTTATAATACTATCCCCACTTTACAGATGGGAAATCTGAGCGTCAGTGGGTGAACTAACCTTCCCATGCTCCACAGATAGTAAATGAGGGAGCAGGGACTGGAAGTCTGGTGAGTTGCTCCAAAGGGCTTGCTTTGTGCCTTGATTTTCTGGGAAAGGGCAGAGAGTGCCAGGATCCAGTTTCATGCTTACAGTTTCTGCTGGAGCGGGAAGTGCCTGGGGCCTCTTCCCGGCAACCCGATGAGCTGTTCTGATTTGAGGATGGGCAGGCCTGGAGAGTGGGACTGGGGTGCACCCACAGAGCAGTAGCAGTTCGTTCCCACCCACGTCAGAGGGTCCTTGCTCTGACCCTCCCCCACAGTCAGACACAAGAAGACACAACAAGGCTTCCCGAAAACTCTCTTGGTTTTGAAAATCACTTTCTAAGAATGGAGGTAATTCTCTCCATTCTCTGTACCGTTGGCTCACAGAGGGGCTCACTGAGGTGGACAAGGTCTCGGCTGTTTCACGGCCAAAGAAAATGGAGGTTGCCGGAGAGAAGCCCCTCTCAGAGTCCTGCTGGAGGGCCCCCCGGGCCCAGCTGCCTCGAGCAGCCTCTAGCCCCCAGGGTCCTTCCCTGCTTTCAGCACCGACTCCCATGGGCAGCACCGCAGCTGCCGGCCCTGCTGCTCCACACTGGTTGTCGTTTCCTCTGAAACCCGACTTCTCCAAACCCTGTGCTTCCTTCCCTGGCAGAAGATCCTTTACTCGATAGGCCAGGCTGGCGCTATGCCTCAGAAGTCTTAAAAACACACACATAATCATGGACCTAGCAACCCAGTTCCAGGAATCCTTTTTATTTTTTTCCTCGCTATGGAATTTATTGGGGGATACTGGTTAGCAAAACCACACAGGTGTGAAGTGCCCGGTCCTGTGGCACAGCATCTGTGCACTGTGCTGTGTGTCGGCCACCACGGACCCCTGTGCCCTCCTCCCTCTCCCCCACTCCCAGGAATCCTTCCTCAAGAAATAATCACCTTTAACCTGAAACCAATATACTTTTTAACAGTTTTTATTTATTATTGATTTTACGGAAAGAGAGAAACATGGATCCGCTGTTCCACCTATTTCGTCATTCATTGGTTGCTTCCCGTATGTGTCCTGAGTGGGGATCGAACTGCAACTTCTGTGTATAGGGAATGATGCTCTAAAAACCTGCACTACCTGTCCAGGGCAAAACCTCTCTCACTTTATTAACCAGTGTCGCCCCAATACATTCAATTAAAAGAGGAAAAAATAATCACCACGCATACCTCTCAGTGTAGTGGCCTCCCACAGTCCTCTCTGCAAATGGGCTCCATGGCTCTAGCCCCGACCACCTGCAATCTCTCACCAAGGCAAAAAAGAGGTCACCCCCAAGGTCTCCGCCAGTAGGCAAGCAAGAGCATGGCAGCCACCAGCTTGCTCATAGCCAAGGGCCCTCTGGGTTCCGCTTTCAGTAACAGCAATTATGGAAGTGCCAAGTACCCTGGGAAAGCAATCCCCTACCACCCCAGTGTCCCCAAGGCCAACTCCTGTCACTTGTGTGTGAGCTTCTTTTTTGGAAGTCCACTGTCTCATTCATGGCGATGGGGTTGGAGTCCCCAGAGCACTCGGAAGCTCTGCCTGGCCTCCAGCAGCACGATCACCTGCGACCTGACTCAGGAAGCCACGGGAAAGCAGCCTGGCAAAGCCGGCCCCAGGCACCAGGCTTCCAGATGCAGTGTCAGATTCTGTCCCCTCCCCACTCCGCCCCGCTTGCCTCATAGGCTATGCAGGTTGCACAAGCACTTGGGTTTTTTTTTCCTATCAAAACAGCAAAACACCAAAAAGGAAATTGAGAGTCTATTCTTTAGCATACAAGCCACACCCAAGCCTTCTGTATGTTTTATACCAAGTGAAAAATGAACACCAAGAGGCCCTCGAAGAAAGGAAGGAAGGAAGGAAGGAAGGAAGGAAGGAAGGAAGGAAGGAAGGAAGGAAGGAAGGAAGGAAGGATCAGACAAGTGCACAAAAGGCCCATTTTTTCAAATGATTGTAGTAGCATTATTCACAGCAGATACAAACTAAAAATTATGTAAATGCCCAACAATTGGAGACTGGTTAACTAAATAAATTGTGGTTCATCTTACAGTAGAACATTGGGCAGCCACTAAAAATGGTGATGTAATTTTGTATTACTGACCTTTAAATATGCTTATTATATGCTTCTTACTGGAGAAAAGCAATGCACAAAGCAGTATAAATGCATTTTAAGAAATATGCGTGGCTGCCCTGACTGCTGTGGCTCAGCTGGTTGGGCGCCATCCCTCAAAGCAAAAGGTTGCCAGTTCGATTCCCGGTCAAGGCATATGGATGGTTGTGGGTTCAGTTCCTTGGTCTGGGAGCATTGTTTCTCTCCCTCTCTTTTTCCACCCCTTCCCCTTTCTCTAAAAAGAAATAAATAAAATGTTCTTTAAAACAGAAATATACATGACATGAAGAAGTCTGGAAGGATATATGACAAAATGCTAACAATGATTACTCTGTGCGGTGGGAATACAGGTAATTTTTAGTATATTTTCCCCTTTTTGTTCACGATGTTTTCTGGGGTTTCTTTTCCTGTCAGCGAACATAAACTGGTTGTTTACTGTTTAGAGAATGCTATAAAGAGAAAAAAATTCTAACACTGCCTCGGCCTTGGGACTTCGGGGGTAGACGGGACCGCTGGTGAATGCGGCAGACTGTTGTCATGGCAACCGCAGCTGGGCCAGAGCACTGGGTATCACACCCTGTAATTAAACACAGATGTGCTAAGAGTTGTGAAGATGGCATTCCTATTGCTGCTCTGAGGGAAACCCCAGTCCAAATTTTCCTGAAGGAGTGTCATCTAAGCCAGGTTCAGAAGGAGCAAGGGACGGGAGGTGGGGAAGGTGTTGGTATAGAACATTCTGGAAGAGCAGCATGTATAAAGGCCCCGGAGCCGTGAGAAGGAGCTTAGCCTATGGAGGAGCAGAGAGATGGGTGGCGTGGCTGAGGCAGGTAAGCATGGTGGGGGTCTTTGTCATTTTCCTAGGGCTACTGTAACAAAGTTCCATAAATGTGGTGGCTTTAATCAACAGAAATTTATTCTCTCACACTTCTGGAGGCTAGAAGTCTCGAATCAAGGTGTTGACAGGACCACGCTTGCTTGAAGCCTCTCAGGTGAGGTAGCCCCAGGTGTTCCTTGGCCTGCAGCCACAGCACGTCAGTCTCTGCCTCCATCACAGGATGTGCTTCAACTTGTGTGCCTCTGTCTTCATGTGGTGTTTTCTCTTCTTACGAGGATACCAGTCATCCTGGCTGGTGTGGCTCCGTGGATTGAGTGCTGGCCTGCAAACCAAAGGGTCACAGGTTCAATTCCTAATCAGGGCATGTGCCTGGGTTTCGGGCCAGCTCCCCAGTTAGAGGGGTGCACAAGAGGCAACAACACATTGACGTCTCTCTCCCTCTCTCCCTTCCACCCCCTCTCTAAAAATAGATAAATGTAAAAAGGAAGAAATGAGAGCTGAGCACTTCCCGGTGTCTAGAGGGAAGAAGCAACTACCACACAATGTCACTCCGCAGCGTGTGAGGCAGGCAGCCTGGAACTTAGGCCCAATTTCCCTCTGCGGCCCTTAGCTTCCTCTTCAGATGCCTGCGTCAGTTGGGAAGAGCTGGTCTGTCTGAGTGTTGAAGACGGTCCCGCACATGCAGCTGTCCTGATGCTCCACAGGAACTAAGGCCTTGGTCACAGTCTGCAGGGCTCTGACCACTCTCAAGACCCCTTTCTACGACCCCTTCTTACCTCACCGGCTCTGGGTTGAATTGTGTTCTCTAAGAAGATATGTCTGGCCTGCAAACTGAAATGTTGCCAGTTCGATTCTTAGTCAAGGACACATGCCTGGGTTGTGAGCCAGGTCCCCAGTCGGAGACAGGCCAGAGGCAATAGATGGATGTTTCCCACCCTCTCTTTCTCCCTCCTTTCCCCTCTCTGAACATAAATAAATAAATAAATAATTTTAAAAAGATATGTTGAAATCCTAAATCCCTAGTACCTGTAAATGCGACCCTATTTGGAGATAGTGTCCTTGTGGATGTAATGACTTCATCCTAATGACATTAAGGTGGACCCTAATAATCCAATATGTCTGGTATTTTTTTTAAGAGAAAGAACTTTTTAAAGATTTTATTTACTTATATTTAGAGAGGGGAAGGGAGGGAGAAAGAGAGGGAGAGAAACATCAATGTGTGGTTGCCTCTCACGCACCACCTCCCCCAACTCCTGCAACTGGGGACCTGGCCCACACCCCAGGCACGTGCCCTGACTGAGAATCGAACCAGTGACCCTTTGATTTACAGGCCAGCACTCAACCACTGAGCTACACCAGCCAGGGCAGCTCTCATTTCTATATCCAGCCCAGTTATAACTTCCATCCTCATCATCAGTGTGCCTGGGAGAGGAATAAACCTCTAAGCACTGGTTCTGGGACAGAGTGTGTTTGGTGTAGGAAAGCCTGTGGCCTCAAAGGAGCTGCCCTTTGCTCACACAACCCCTTGCATGTTTAAAAGTTTCTGAAATTAATGTGCAAAGTTCTCTGAATCCTGCTAGGACAAAAGACATTGGGGGAATTTTAATAGCAGCTGATCGTGGATCCAGTCTGGCCTCTGCTCTACTGGCTCTGTGACTCCGGCCCAGTTATTTAACTTCTCTGAGCATCAGTTTCCTCAGACCGAAAATAGGAA